CTTTGACTTATTGAAGTCCTAGGGAAAAAAGTGGGGGAACTCACTCAACTTCCATTCCCTCACCTAAAAAAAAGGCGTATATATGTATAAATAAAACACCCCCACCCCACTCCAGTCACATCAGTCTGTATCTACCTATAATATCAACACAATCTCAAGCACGTGCACACATAGGGCTCAACCTGTGCAGAGCACATGCCCTTTTTAGTCTTGCATAGAAAGTGCCCTTCCAAAATGATCAAAAGTGCCCCCGCGACGCGACACACCCTCGGTCCCGGCCTTCAGTAGGCGCGCGATAACACCGCTCTTGAGTACGCGCGCAACAACACAGCTGATCAGAACGCGCGCGACAACGCGCATTGATTGACAAGCGCGCTGTGTACGGATAGAATCAGCGGAGCGGGGAGTGCTTTCTCTCCCCGCTAAGCTGACTCTGTCGGGCCACAAAATATTGCACTGAGGGCTGCAAATGGCCCGTGTGCCACGAGTTTGAGACCCCTGGTTTAGAGACTTTATTAGTTCATGAACTTGTTACTTCAAACATGAACTTTTCACATTCATCTAAACTGCTACATGCTGAAATATTGATTGACAATTCTTTGACTATTTATAGGGCTAATGTCTATTAACACTGTGCAGTAAGGCTCCATTAGTTAATTTAACTAAACTACGCTTTTATTAATGTAAAGTGATATCAGTTTCTTAGTTAATACAGAGTTATGTGTTAAAATCATAATTGTAATCTGATTATGTAATGTAAAGTGTATTTATATAGCGCATTTATTGTGTGTGGCCGTACACCCAAAGCGCTTCAAAATCATGAAGTCTCTCCACACCACCACCAGTGTGCAGCATCCACTTGGATGATGCGATGGCAGCCACAGGACAATGGCGCCAGTGCGCTCAACACACACCAGCTATTGGTGGAGAGGAGAGACAGTGATAGAGCCAATTCGGTGGAAGGGGATGATTGGGAGGCCATGATCGTAAGGGCCGATAGAGGGACTTTGGCCAGGACACCGGGGTTACACCCCTGCTCTTTCATGAGAAGTGCCATGGGATTTTTAATGACCACAGTGAGTCAGGACCTCAGTTTAACGTCTCATCCGAAAGACGGCGCCCACTGACAGTTTAGTGTCCCCTTCACTTTTACTGGGGCATTAGGACTCACACAGACCACAGGTTGAGCGCCCCCTGCTGGCCTCACTAACACCACTTCCAACAGCAACCTAGTGTTCCCTAGTGGTCTCCCATTCAGGTACTGACCAGGCTCAGCCCTGCTTAGCTTCAGTGAGTAACCGGTATTGGGCTGCAGGGTGACATGGCTGTGGCCTTATAAAATGATTATAAGTCATAAATCGTATTATTCACTAATAAAAATCTGTTGTATTTTTCTTTTTACTCATAATAACATAGTAACTGTAATAAATCTGTCTTTTTCCTAAATGTTTATTTGAGTCCACGAACTAACAGTTAAGTGTAGCACTTTCCACAGTAATGTTACTGTATTCTCATAACTTTTTTGTAAAACGCAGTCATGTCACGAATTACATTTTGAATTTGTGTATGTTTATTAGTTACTAAAGTCAGTGTAATTGCATTACTTCCATTATGAATATAGTTTTTAGAAGGAAAAAAAAATGCTTTTTTAAAATCATGTTTTTCGCTGCAATGAGCATGTACTTTTAAATAACCGGAGAACACGCTGCTTTTTTATCAGTTTTTTTTTAAATCATTTTCATTATTTGTTTTTATTTTTCTTATACTTGTCTCTTTTATTCTTGTTTATGTAAAGCACTTTGAATTGCCACTATGTATGAAATGTGCTATATAAATAAACTTGCCTCGACTTGCGGCTGTCGAGAGTGGTTGCTTCTTTAAGTGGAAATACAGACATTACTTTGCATGTTTTTTGTTTTTACTTTCAATAAAATCAGTCAATGTCCTGTCTCTTAAGAACTTTCGACTGCTTTAACTCGACCAGCAACTTGTTCAAACACTTGATGAGAAAGCATTCCATGATGATACTCATCGCCAAGGACACCAGCATCCAAAAACATGGTATTCCAACAGGCTAAATTGGAATTTCCAGCAGGATCGGGAGTGAAGATATTTTCTGAATGTGAAGAGCAGCATAGCTGCTTATGGTGCAGATCACATATTGCTTTATTTGTTTGCGCAAGTTTGTTATTTCCATTCAAGGCTTGTGTCTTGTACGCGCATATTGGAAGCGAGAATTGCACACGCCCTTACATTTTCCAGGTGCTCCCAGTTAAAAACAAAGAGTCGCGTGACACAACCTGACCAGTCAGCTTCATATTTTGTAAGAAATAAACACATTTGGGTAGACTAATTACCTCAGAACACCCAAACACTGCAGTGCTTTTTCATACTATGGATGTCAATTGTTACAGGTATCCAGTTTTCTTCTAAATGCCTTCTTTTGTGTTAAGAAAAGACAAACCGGTTTGGGAAAAGGGAATGACGAGGGAATTGTAAGTTTTGGGTGAACTCTTTAAGTCTTTTGAATATGTCCAGCTGCTGTGATCAACCCATTGTAATGTTTCTTAGTAAATATGAAATTAGTGAAAGAGCTGCAGTTTATTTAGTATTTTTTATAGGTGTATTTTATGTTTTAAACGTAACTTCAAAGTAAAGTAATTAGTAATCTGATTACTTTTTACATTAAGTAATGAGTAATGTAATTATATTACAGTTTTCCAGTAGTAGTCACTAATTTGTAATCTATTGCTTTTTATAAAGTAACTTACCCAACACTGCTAACGAATGAGACTTTATTGTAGTGTTACCTATAGTACTTTTTAATTTGTATGCAATTTAATTAGGTTAAAACTTCAGTTGAGCATCCTATTTATATAGACAATAATACAATACATTACTACACAATACACAATAATATGTTTTTTATGTTAATATATCAGCCAAAAAAACAAAAAAGGTTTTCGCAGCTTAGGTCAAAATTGTGATACAGCAATTAATCGCAACAATATTTGATACCGTCATAAGCTCCTAGTGCCATTGCCTTGTCATTTGAAGCTTTGTATCATTTTGTGATTGGTTATGTGTGAAAGTGGAAGTTTGAAAGAGCTGCTACTGCAGTGCAGCTCTCTGTGGATCCTGTTTAATATAGATTCATTGAAGCTGTCATCTGTGCCCCAGATTTTAGCACTGCATTTTCATGCTGTCCCCAGCGCCGCTCAAAAGTGGATCAATCCCCCATCCTCTCCTCGTTACCCTGTGCCGTCCATTACGATGGGCAGCAGGTTCAGTTTCCACTGTCAGATCTAATGCTGCTCATACACTGATTCACATATTTCAAGATCTGGTTGGGGTTTTCTTTTAGCTTGTTGACTATTTAAATTGCAGAGCTTGCATGTTTCCCTGTTAGTCAGAGGAGGAAAATAAATGAGTTGAAATAAGTGTGGTTTGGGGAAGCACGGTGGCTCAGTGGTTAGCACTGTTCCCTTACAGCAAGAAGGTCTCTGGTTCGAGTCCCTGCAGGGCCTGTTGGGATTTCTGTGTGGAGTTTGCATTTTCTCCCCGTGTTGGCGTGGGATTCCTGCGGGAGCTCCGGTTTCCCTAACAGTCCAAAGATATGCACTGTAAGTGAATTTGGTAAACAAAATTGGCCATAGTGTCAGAGTGTGTGTGTTTGTGTATGAGAGAATGTATGGGTGTTTCCCAGTACCGGGTTGAGGTTGAAAGGGCATTTACTGCGTAAAACATGCCTGAATAGTTGGTGGTTCATTCTGTTGTGGTGACCCCTCATAAATAAGGGACTAAAGCCTGGTTCATACTTCTGCATCAAGTGATCAACATGACCCACGGCACATGCAACGTGCGTAGCTGTGCATTTATACTTCTGCGCGCTGTCTCTGTTGCTCTGAATTAACGAGTGTCGAGTTTCTTCGCTGCTGTTTTGTTTTTTCTGAATGCTTCCTGAATGTTCAAGTGGCTCAAACTCCGTTTAAACCGGTGGACATGCAACAATTTTATCCATGGGGTAAACAGAAAACAAAAGTTTTCATCCCGAGCTCCTTCATGGAACTCCTCACTTGTAAACAATCGCTCCATCAGGCTCACGCGGCTCTCGGTCCCGCCCACACTCGTCAGAACTACCAAGCCGACCAATCACAAAGCTTGCGCTACGCGTCATTGCAACATGTGGTTCCATTTTTTGAGAGTTGCGTAGCAGCGACGACCACGGCGCAGAGCTATGCGTCAACGTGTAGGCTTTGCCGTCGCAAAAGCGTGCGCTTTACACAGAAGTATATATCAGCCTTAAGCCGAAGGAAAATGAATGAGTGTGACTTGATGCAAGCAAAACAATTTGATTTTTTACATTAATGTATTTCTTTTGTTTAATATAATATTAAGTCTGCTGTCTGAGCTTTCCATGCCTTCTTACACCTTCCTTCCACTGTCATTTCATTTTGTTACACAACTCATTCTCTAAACTACAGTACTTAGTTTTGTTTTCATTGTATGTATGAATTGCTTTAGTTGTTTCTGACATCTAAAAAGTCAACAAGCACCTTTACAAATGTTGTGACATGTTCAATTTGTATTTTAGCCGCTGTATATGATTTATAATTGCAATATAAAAGACAGATAAATATTTGTGACTATATGATGAGTCTTCAATATATTGACCATCCCTAGTACTTGGTCATCTGATTCCCGGTCAGCCATTATGGTCTTATAATTGCAGCAGCCTTGGCAGAACAGTGTTACTTTCCACAAGCTCATGTGGGGTAGAATTCACAACACACAGACGGACACTGGAGGTTCACGGTCAAGGTGAGAAGAAGGTGTAAATGAGACTCTGACAGAGCTGGGAGCCTTCTAAATAGAAACTCTGTTTAAACAGTGTGTGTGTGAAACAGCACAGTAAGAGGTCTTGAAAATAGGTTTGTAGGTGAGTTTGATTGACTGTTTGTCAGGTGTCACTCATGCTATTTGTTTGTTGTGTCCTCCAGATGCCCCACCCATTGATCGGGAAGAGCTGTTCGTCCAGAAACTGCGGCAGTGCTGCGTGCTTTTCGACTTTGTGACGGATCCACTAAGCGATCTCAAGTACAAAGAGGTGAAGAGAGCCGGCCTGAATGAAATGGTGGAGTACATCACACACAACCGCGACGTGGTCACAGAGTCCATCTACCCCGAAGCTGTCATCATGGTGAGAATATCCACTGGGGATCCTCAGTTATGGCAAAAATCTAAATCATTGTTATGTAACGTGAATAGGAGTGGGCGACGTGACCCAAATCTGAAGACTCTCTTATTATTTGCACAATGGCAATATATAGATCACTCTATGATGAATATTTTACATAACTGTGATGTTCTGGATATCGCAGCTGAAATTAAATATACTAGCCTGAATTTGCAAGTAATATAAAGCATATTGAAAACAACGAATGCAATAGGCAAATGAAAAAAAAAGTCAGTTATTAGAAAACTACACATTTTACAGAGTAAAGACATCAGAAAGAAAACAAACGCAGCATAATATTTACAGTTTGATGTACTTTGATTCTTATTAAGTAAAGTTTTACAAAATAATTTTGAGAGGGGGACGGGATATGATTGATTGTGGCTGGCCTCTCATCCATAATCAGAAACAATCCAATCAGATTAATCCAAGCCGACAGATTTTACCCTACTTGCCTATCTTCGTTTTGGAAGAAGAAACCCCTTCCATCCCATCTCCTTCTCTTACCAGGGGAAGTTCTCGATACCTACTGATCACAGACCTTCTTACATTCTAACAGACCAGGCAGGAACCCGGTGCTCAATTTTCTCCAAGCTCAGGGTTCACTGCTGGTACAGCATGGCAAACCTGCTAGTACCGTCAAGCAATATCTAAGGGTGCTTTCACACTTGGTTTATTTGCCTGGACCTTACCCAAGTTCGATTGTCCCCCCTTGCCACCTCCTTGCTTGGTTTGTGTTCACACTGTCTTTTTTTCTTCTGAAACCCAGTACGCTTGCGTCATGGAACTGCTGTTTTTTTTACGGCCGTTGCTAGGTGACGGTCAACGAAAGCAAGCGCCGAAATGGAAAGACATCCGCAAATCGCGGTCATTCTGCTTTAACTGAAGCTGTTGGTTTAGGACATACAGAAAGCGACTCGCGTCCATCTGCCGCAAAACTATTATAAACGTTCAGAACATCACACAGTGTCTGCAGAAGCTGTTTTTGGAGGAGGCAAGCAGACATCACTGTGTATTACTGTGTTTGCCCTGGCTCAGTTCCGCGCATGTCACCAAGGTACGAAACGTGACACAGACACACACACGCACACACACAAACAAACGTTATGAAAACGATAGTTTGTTGTACAGTTGACGGTTTACTTCAGTATTTGGGATGATTGCATTCACATCTGAAGTGAACCACACCAGAGTTCGCATGAACTGTTCCCCAGACCACCTCATTCAGGCGGACTCGAGTACGATTCACAGGTGGGCACCCGAGTTCAGAAGACACATACCGCTACTAAACGTACCGTACTATGACATTGAACAAACCCGGGTGCGGACCAAAAGTGCTAGTGTGAAAGCACCCTCAGTGTGAACGCTTGAAATTGTTCGGTCAGGATTTGAGTGCATTTCTTTTGTTGTTTAAAGGAACACTCCTACTTTATTTTTGAAAATAGTCTAATTTTACAGCTCCCATAGAGTTGAGTTGTATCATTTTTAAATCCATTCAGGCAATCTCTGGGTCTGACAAGAGTACTTTTAGCTTAGCTTAGCATTAGATCATTGTATCACATTTGGTCGTTAGCATTTCCTTCAAAAATGACTGAGAAGTTTTGATAATTTTTGTATTTAAAGCTTTCATTAAATGCGTCTTAAATTTCCAACCAATTTACTCGCCCCTTTGATATCCCAGATGTTAATTTCTTTCTATCTTTAGTCATAAGAAATTTTGGTTACATAGATATTAGTGGTGTAACAGATTACATTATGGTTTTTTAGGCACAGATCGAATCATGTTTTGGATCAGCCAAAAAGGGGCGGAGACAAATGAAGTTGCTTTCTGTTTATTACAAAAACTGCACTACAAAACACTCTTGGTTTTTTTTATTGCTAGATTTCATTGCATTTAATTTTGGTTTGTTTTTTCATTGCTAGATGAATCATTTTTGAAGAATTATTCAGTGGCATATTTTTTATTAACCCATTGGTTAAACAAATATAATTGCTGCCAACAACTTTCATTTTTGATCGTCGAAAATTCATATGATTGTGGTTTTAATCTTTACCACTGTTATTCCAGTACTTCTGCATTATTTAACTGTTTAAAACTTCATAACTAACTCGGAAGACTAAAGACTGAATCTCTTAGGATTAATAAACGTGCAAATCACCCTCGTTTATAATTTTTGTTGTGTGGGTGTTGAGATCCCGATCTTTTAATAATAAATCATGCAGCTTACACTCAATGCATTAATGTAGGATAAGCAAGTAGTGACAGAAAACACCTTTAATAACCTAAGAAATCCACCACATCCCGAATAACCAACCACAACTCCTTCTGTCATTATTATAATTTATAGGAAACCCTAAATGCTTTCATACATGTGATTTGAATGACGCAAGAGGCGACCTCTCTGTGGTCAATACAAGTTTAGGATTAATCTACAAGTAAAAGCTATTTATTAATTTGTGAGTCATGTGCATTTTGAACTGTGGGCTGTGATCCGTATGAATCAATGCTTAAATATTTGGGAAATTATTGGACTGATTAGTTATTAGCATTTCTTGAATATGTTAAAAAAATATATTTTAAAAACTGAATCTTTAATTGACGCATGAGTGTTTTTTTTAACAGAGTTCACCTGGTTTTTAAATTCATTCATTCATTCATTTTCATTCTGCTTAGTCCCTTTAGTCATCAGAGATCACCACAGCGGAATGAACCGCCACCTTTTAACATATGTTATGCACAGCAGATGACCTGCCAGCTGCAACCCAGTACTGTGAAACGTCCATACACACTCATTTACACATACTTTACAGCCAATTTAGTTTATTCAATTCACTTATCGTGCATGTCCATGGGCTGTTGTTGAAACCGGAGCACGCGGAGAAAACCCACGCCACCACAGAGAGAACATGCAAACTCCACACAGAAATGCCAAATGACCCAGTCGGGACTCGAACCAGCGATCTTTTTGCTGTGAGGCGACAGTGCTAACCACTGAGCCATGGTGCTGACTGGTTTTTACATTTTAAAACGTTAAAATAGAAGGAAAAAAAAGGCTTGCATATTTTATGCTGTTGCTAGTCTAAATACACACACACAAACAAATTGTCCACTGCTTTTTAGAAGTATTTCTTTCCTATACAACTCTTATGGATGTTAGTAAACTGACTTTCATCTGATCAGGAGTGAATAAGAGCGAACATGCTGAAAACACACACCTTTACTACGCTTGTCATCCTCTGTGACCAATCGACAGTAATGGCTTTTGCCTGACCAATGCAAACGTAATTACTTGCCGGATCCAGGAGAAAATGTAGTGTAAATTCACACCAGGGAATTTTGGGTAATTATCTGTCATAAATCAAGACCCAGACACCCTCTCAGCCATCTATAATTCGGAGAGGATCTGCTGTGTCCCAGATAGGGCTCAGCAGTGCAAAATAGCAAAAAAAATTTCAACTATGAATGATATTTGACTATTTTTATTTAGATGGATCACTGCAATGATGCACTGGAATATTTTTGCTGCATTAGCTGAATCATCACAATTATTGCGATTTTTTTTTTTTTTTTTTTTTTTTTTTTTTTTTTAATAATTTATTTTATTATTTTTTAATAGCTTATTTGTTTTATGTTCAATCAACAAGAAAATAATTGTTTCTTAAAATGATTTCTTAAATTGTTTAATTTTAAGAATTTGTATGGTACCCAGCATCTTTTACAGCGTACATTAAATTACACGCCTATATTTATATAATCATGTAGGGAACTTTTTACCTCATTGTGATGCATTGTGAGAACATTAAATGTTCTTGATTGTACAATATACACCTTTAACATTTCAGTGCATTACTAATCCCAGGCATGAATTTTGCTGATTTATGGAAAGGCAGTTACTAAGATGGGGATAAAGTACATTCAGGAGGTTGATAGGCTTATTAGCAGTCCGACATGAAGAGTAAAGCACTGTTGTATTAGACTGATAGGCTTTATTCTATGAAAAAACCCATCCTGGATGTATTTCATTCAGCTTTTTAGATGACTACTCTCCACAAAACATAAAACTACACATAAAACATTGATCTGAGTCATAATAGTTTGTTTAATTCTTTTAATTAAACACAAAGCTGACAGAAACGAAAACAGCTGATGGAGTATACACTAACCTGCGCATTATTCAGTCACACGATGGCACCAAAAACGCAAAGCTGACCGAAGTGAAACCAGCTGAATGGTGAATAAATACCTGCATATTATTAAGTCAGACAGACAAGCAGATACAAATACATTTGGATGCAAGTTTATGGATGTGAACATATTCACTGACGATCAAGATAGTAGTACCTCGGAATGTCACGACTGACCAATGAGAATCAACATACATCCATCTAATATAATCATTTAATAAATCCCTGACTACATTTCTATGGACATCAATACTCTGATTTTAATTCGATTAAGACAATTCTTTAAATAAAACTGTGATTTTTATTTTTATTTTTTTATTTTATTTATTTATTTATTATTTTTTTATTATATATATATATATATATATATATATATATATATATATATATATATATATATATATATATATATATATATGTATATATATATATATGTATATATATATATATATATATATATATATATATATATATATATATATATATATATATATAATTATTTATTTTTTTGATTACCTTAATCTGGCTAAAGTCATAATGAAAGTAAACAGAAATGCAATGAAGACGTGGAGTATTCATACCAATATCCAAATACAATAGCAGTCATTAATAATCACGGAGCTTTTGGGTTTCAGATACACACTGTCCTCTTACATCCTCACGCACTCATTAGATTCTCTCAGAGTGAGGTGTTGGTGAAAACCTCTCCCTCCCTCTCCTGTCTGGAGGTCTGAGTCCACTGAGTCTGAGGCTGTGGTTGAAACATTGCGTCATCCTTAGCACAGCCGCCCCTCTGCAGTAGCAACACTCCTGTCCTTCCTCTCAGCCATTTTGGTAACTTACTCGAATAATAAGCAGCATCTTAAAGTACAAATGAAATTAAAACTAACCATGTCGTTTAGAAGATAAAATAGTTTGCCCTTGTAATCTTTAATTGCAATCTCTTGAAATGCACTTCATGTTTGTTTCCAGTTAAATTAGATTAGTTCTGTCTGAAGTATTGGGCGTGGCTAACGTATTTAACCCCGCCCCTCCAGCTGTCAGTTTTGACAATTAACAGAAATGGTGAGGATGAGGTGTCTGTTATTTTGTAATAACTATCCTCAAACCCTTTCCCCCATCTTTCTGAATGAAATGCCTACTTTACTACAGCCAATCAGCTCACAGTAGGAAAAACAAGCCACTCCCACAGTTTTCTCATTTAGTATACTGATATTCTGTGACACAAGCTTTTACACTACCATTGGACAAAAAGTTGTTGTGATGACAGAATATTAAACCTGTAATGCCCATTTCTTTGTGGTATTTGTATTTATTCATTATATATACATACATGCATGCATAAATGCATACATCCATGCATACATACAGTGGACAGTTTCTTTGCTTGCATAATGACATGCAATGTTTGTTTCTTTTCAGTTTTCTGTAAACTTGTTCAGGACTCTGCCACCCTCTTCTAACCCCACGGGAGCAGAATTCGACCCTGAAGAGGATGAACCCACTCTGGAAGCAGCTTGGCCGCATCTTCAGGTGTGTGTGTGTGTGTGGAGCTTAATGTAATCATAATACTAACTTTCAGTCCATTCCATCTTTTAGTTCATCCTATTACATCCCTGCAATATCACTTCCTCTAAAATGGTTTCTAAACTGTATAAATGCTGGTAGTCACTCTTGATGGTTGCCTTGTCATTCACCTGTTTGTATTAAAGCAGCCATAGAATTAGGCGTGTTAATCTAGAGGGATTCAATCCGATTTTGGGAGTCACAGATTGATTCTGAAAACGATCTTGATATATATATATATATATATATATATATATATATATATATATATATATATATATATATATATATATATATATATATATATATATATATTTTTTTTTTTTTTTTTTTTTTGCTTAAAATAGCGATCACAATTTTCTCACGATTCTTTAGATGTAAAATAAAGCTTAATATGAGTCTGCAATTATTATTGTTTTTTTCTCAAACCAATGATAAAACGACAATATTAATATTATGTGTAGGTCTACTGGTTTCTATAAATATTTCTATTCTACCTATAATGAATCTGATGTTGAATTATGTTTAAGATATATGCGTGCAATCTGTCATTGAGAACATTATTAGACCATATAATTCACTGGTAAAATCAACATTATATAGGCTAGAGTAGTTATACTGACACTGTAAACAATAATTTAACGCACAACTGTGTGTTCGCTATGAAAGAAAAAACATATCAAATGCTTGTCGCAGTCATAACTCTAAAATGCGATATGATTATTTAAATGATGTGAACGCTTTCGGTTTCAATTTCACTGCTAAGTGCTGTTCATACTTTGCGCGCGGCTCTCAAACGATCACTCTGCGCCACAAAAGTTGTATTATTTTTTTATATTGTTTATTTATATATATATATATATATATATATATATATATATATATATATATATACAATATTAATAATATTAATATTGTAAATAATAGTAATATTATTTACAACTTTATAACCTGTTACTCACAGCATATGCAGGTTCTGTTTACTAAAGGAGACTTGTGCGCGTCTATCATTAGGGCGCGTGCCTACACATTCAGCAGCTCACATCACGTTTGATTTCCCGGCCGCAAATACAGCATTATATGAAGACAAAAATGAAATTTTTAGGTGAATTATACCTTATAAATACAGTATGTGACTCTTTTAACACCATTTGGAGGTGTCCATGTCGCTGAGCAACGTGTGTGAAGCAATGAAAAGATTCGTGCAGCCGCCTTTGCTTTTCTCCTGAACTTGAAAATATGATTGACAGAATTGTAGAAATGCTGGATTAAGATCGTGTAGGGCAGTGGTTCTCAAACTGTGGTACGTGTACCACTAGTTGTACGCGGGCTTCCTTCTAGTGGTACGCGGAGGAATGAAAAATGTCATGTACATGCTACATACATTTCAAAATGTATCAAAAATTATGTATATAATGTGCCATATATGACATATAGCCTATATTTCTGAGGTAATCTGCCACGTTTGTTTTACTGTGCAGAGTTATAGCTGCTTTACTGGGCCTACTGCGCTACTGTATTTCAGTACTGCTCATTTTGGCGGTACTTGGAGTGACAATTTTTTTCTGAGGTGGTACTTAATGAAACATTTTTGAGAACAAGTGGTGTAGGGCATCGAATCAAGATTGCAATCTTTTTACGATTAATTGTGCAGCTCTAGCTACGAGTCACTTTTAAAAGATGAGGTAAGCGGGTCATCAAGAAAATCTAATACAGTCACAAAATCGGAATTGACCATCAAGATCTGCAGTGTAAATGCTGCCTGTGTCAGTTCAGTTTTTAGAGTTGAAGTTCAGTTTAGTTCAGTTCAGTGTGGTTTAAGTTTTACTGCTGAATGTTCAAACACTGAAGAGGAAATCCATTGATGCGCAGCTCAACAAGTCCCAACCAAGCAAGCCAGTGGCGAGAGACAAACTTCACCAATTGACAAAAGTGAAGGGAAAAACCACGAGAGAAACCAGGCTCAGTTGTGTGAAAATGTGATTTTTCCAAAAATGTGTATAAAATGAAAACTGACTTCCGTTAGTGTGCTATTTTAATGTTCTCAAGTATGAACGTTTTAGCTTTGCCACAATGCTGAAGTTGAAGCTCTGTTTTCACTGGTCATGGAATATTTGGGTGACTTTAGTTTCCTTCCAGTGAAACCGTTCAGTGGGATTTAGAACAAAGTGTCTTTTTTTAAATGATTAAAAATGCAAGAACTGACAGCTTTTATTGTATTGGTGGCAAAGAGGACCTGACAGATCAATTGATCATTCATTTACTATTAATCTGCTCATTTTCCTCTCCTTACCCATTCCTCAGCTGGTGTATGAATTCTTCTTACGATTCCTGGAGTCACCCGATTTCCAGCCCAACATTGCCAAAAAATACATCGACCAAAAGTTTGTACTTTCGGTAAGTGTTCTGTCTTCTGACCTTTGTCTGAATCACGGTTTGTCCTCACCTCACACTATCAGTAGAAGACACACATTCCCTCTGCTGTGTGTATGAGTGAGGAAACTGAGGCCAGCTGCTGTTACAGCTTTTACAAGCATGTCCAATGCAGAGATCAGCACTTCGGTCTGGGTAGAATACTAAATCCAGTTTAAAGCAGAAGTGTATTGCTCTGCCAACATCTTGCTGGATATAATTTTTTTTTCATTAAATATACGTCCATCCACCTTTTGCACATTTTCAAATGTTGCATAAAAATACTGGATGGAAAAGACTAGATGCATAAAAATACTTAAAGCACAAAGAATGCACTTAAGTCTAATTTGTTTATCTTGATTAAATATGTGCATAAAATTACACTGCATTTGCATTTCTGGATAACAGAATTTAAACTTTAAAAAAATGTGTTTATGCACTACCTGACAAAAGCATGGTGTCCGCGGGGTCTTGAAAAGTATTCAAATTTGAGAAATGAAAGGCTCTTAAAAAGTATTAAAGTTAAATGAAATGCTATTTTGCAAGGTATTAAACCGTGATATAATTTTTTATTATGCAATGGATGGTTGTCTGCTGAAGTTTGCCTGAATTAAATCTGCGAATATCATGATGCCGTGTAGTTTATGAAGTCAATAAAATCCTGCTAGGTTTGACATCATGCTGCAATGTTTACTTCAGTAACAAAGGCAACACCATCTGCTTGTTAAGTGGTGACGTGTTTGTGACGTATGTAATACTGTTTCCGGGTCCAAGCCGGCACTCATTTGAGTGGAGAAATCATTCGTTTATGATCACGTTTTATTCCTATCACACATTAAAGTTAATTTTATATAAAATCATAGTGTACACAACAATCTCTGGGCTTGCTGCATAACAAATACCAAAATTTTAACAATTTATAAAAAAAATGTATCACATTCTGGCCATCGGATATTAGGCATGGACATATATATTGCGATCGTGATTTTCGAAAGCCTTAAATCGCTTTGTAAACGTTTATTATTACCATTTCATGAGTCTCCCCATTCAGTTGAATAGAGCGCTTGGACCTGGAAGCCGCTTCGCGTGACGTCACACTTAACAAGCGGATTACTTCTGCAGTTCTATATATGCCAGCCTGCTCAATTAGTTAGATTAAATAGATTTATTTTTAGTATATGAAAAATGTTTGAGTTTTTCTATAAGTTAAACTTTAGTTTAATTAGTAAATTAATTAATAATTAGCTAAATTGGTTTAAATCTTGCTAGTGTTTCCGGTTGAAACCTAAAGTGGTTTTAATGTCTTAAAATGTATGGAAAGAGTCTTAAAAAAGGTCTTAAAAGGTATTGAATTTTACTCTCTGATTCCTGTATACTCTGAAAAGTATTGTCATTGTTTTCATGTTTTATTTTGGTAAAATAAGTGTAATCTAGAGCAGAGTTTCTCAACTGGTGGGTCGTAACCTAAAATTGGGTCACGGGAACATTTTCAGTGGGTCGTGGAGTTTGTGATCTAAAAAAGAACAACAGTATAATTTTTAACTCATTTTGCTTATATTGGACTTTTAAAATGCGCGTAGACAACCGTACCGTTTGACATGTGAAATTTCAGCGCAAGTACGACCCCGAATATGTAAAGTGTGGATTTACATTTATTGACGACAAAAAAGGCTTAAAACCTCAGTGTGTCATATGTATTGAAGTGCTCTCACAAGAGAGCATGAATGAAACCTTCTAAATTAAAGCAACATTTCAAAACCAAACATCCCAGTTGCAAGGACAAACCTGTGGACTATTTTATAAGACAACTCCAATAGCTGAGGGCATCACAAAAGTGCCAAACATCTTCATGTTCAAAACAAGTACAGGCACACTGCGCATCTTACTGTGCTCACCATGTAGCAAAGGCCAAGAAAGCCCTCACAAAAGCAGAAGAGCAATAACTGGTGATTATTATAAAAATGGTTATGATTATTTTAATAATTTGACTTTACAATTTGCTGGTATATTCTGTTCGACCAGATCAGTATTAATGTTTTACTAACAGTTCAGTTTAGGTAATGGTAACTTAACTTTTCCTTACCCTAACCACTGTTTACAAGTATTTGACATTTTTTTCTGTCATTTGATACATTTTGTTTGTTAAATGACAGCTGTAAAATATTGTTTATTTGCAAGTCTTCGTGATTTTCCTATGATTTATCGGTCACTTCTTGTGTGTGTTAACAAATAAATACAACTGAATTATAATTCCTAAAATTATATTATAGTTCCTAAAAATTTGGGTCGCGGCTTGATGACCATGTGAAAATGTGGGTCCCATGGCCAAACCAGTTGAGAACCACTGATCAAGAGGGCTTTGCCTTTCATGTAAGCCACTTCTGATAACAAATTATCAACTAGAAGTCCAGTTATTATTTGCTGTTCCTAAATCTTGGATGGGTGACAAGAATTTTTTGGTTAGGTAGTGTATTTGTTTATGCAGTTGTAAGGACAGTTTATTATTGTAAAAAAAAAAGTACTTTTATTTTGTAAGCAACTTAAATATCTTGTTCTCCTTCTGAATCCTGGTAAGATGTAAAGGATTTGTTGACAAGTAGATATATTTATTTCAGGCCTACAATCTGATCAAACATTCATGCAGATCAAGCTCTGCCAGATCAGGTTTTAGTTTCTATGAACACTTTTCATTCTGACTGAGCTCCGCTTAATGGATATAAACAGATTGTTTAGATACATCTAGCTGCTGACATTGAATCTCAAAAAGCATTTAATAATAGCGATAGTAATGGCTTAGGTTTGCCTTTTTTCCTTTTCAGCTTCTGGAGCTTTTTGACAGCGAAGACCCCAGAGAGCGGGACTTCCTGAAAACCATCCTGCACAGGATCTATGGAAAGTTCTTGGGGCTGAGAGCCTACATCCGTAGACAGATCAACAATATATTCTACAGGCAAGCTGTCAACTAATCCACCTCCGCATAGGCTCCTTCAGCTCGAAAAATACCCTCATTCATAAACTTACTAATGGTAGACGCAGAACTTGTGAGCTCTTAACTCTTTCTTAACTCGGCATGGTGTCTGTGGTGTCTGTAACATGTTTTAAAGGTAAAAAAATAGGCCTTAAAGTCTTAAATTTACTGAAATATGGTCTTGTAGGTGTTAAATCATTTTGAATGGGTCTTAATTTTTCTTTATGTAAAGTAGGAAATAACTAGTTAGAATTTGTTTCTTGATGGAGCAAGTACGTTTTTTTTCTGCATCGCTATTAAAAAATAGTCAATAGCTTTAAGCCCTATACAAGTGTAAGGGCTCTATTTTGACGGTCCATGCACAGAGCACAAAACGCAGGGCGCAAACGCTTTCAGGGCATGTCAGAATGCGTTTTTGCTAATTTAGGGACTGGAAAATCTGCTTTGCGCCATGGCGCATGGTCTAAAAGAGTTGAGTTTATTTTCTTAATGAGTTATAGGTGTGTTTTGAGAATAAACCAATCAGAGTCTCATCTCCCATTCCCTTTAAGAGTCAGCTGCGTCGCGCAAAGAGCGCATTCGCCATTTACAGGACGCAAAGTAAGTCTAAGTGGAAAAAATGAGCATTTCACAAGCAAACAGTTAACAGTTTTTAACAGAAAACTGTTAAACAGCATCTACTGCGTGAGAATGAGAGATAATGGATCTACTTTCACTTTCGCTCTTGGATAGGGAAACCTTTACGCACAGACATTAATTAGCCTATAAATAAATAATTTTGTTTGTTAAGCGCAAATATTCATTTCAAAACTATTTCTAAATTCAGTTCTAATTTCCAGCAAACGAATAAATGAATAATAATAACAAAATGTGCTCAAAAACCTGAGTTATATCCTAATACACATGCTGTGCCCCATATGGTCTAAAACCTGACAGGTGGGCAAATCTAAGCTTGTTTTTAATAAAACAAATATAAATATGGATATAATAAATAATACTGATAATAATAATAACATTATACAAAAGCAAATTATTATGAATGAACTGAAAAAGCCTCCCGAGATGAAGAAGACATAAAAGCAGTGATTTTTCATATTGATGTAGGCTAGAAAATAATGGCCCGGTTTCACAGACAGGGCTTAGACTAGCCAGGATTAGGCCATAGTTCATTTAGTACATTTAGGTAATTTTTCCAAACATGCTTAGAAAAAAACATTATTGGTGTGTATCTTGAAACAAAATAAAGGCACTGATATATTTAAAAATCAATCAGTGCAATTTTATTTCAGTTGAAACAGCTCAGACTTACATTTTAGTCTAGGACTAGGCTTAAGCCTTGTCTGTGAAACCGGGGGAATATGTTTTGTAATATATTTAATCCTTTATATTTATATCCTATATCTATTCTTATTATATCCTATATATATTCTTAATATTTACATTTTTTCATATGTAAAGATATTTGCCTATTGCTCTCTTGTGCGTATTAAGCAGTGCGTAAGCGAGGCGCAACTCTGCGCTGGAGTGTAGACCGGGTTAGTTTTGGTCTAATGAAAAATCTATTATAGTTTCCTAAAATAGCAACGCGCCAGCAGTCCGCCTCAGAACGCCTCCTTTTTAGACCAGAATGCCTATGAGCGCACATATGAGCGCTAATGCATTTGCTATTTAAACAGCGTAGCGCAACGCCTCAAAACCACTCTTGCGCCAAGCTTAAACTACCAAAAGACTATTGTGCCGCGCCTTGCGCCACACTGCGCCGGGTGTATGATAGGGCCCTAAATATTCATTCTTAATGGTCTTAAAAAGTCTTAAATTAGACTTGATTAAACCTGCAGAATCCCTTATTTAACAAACTATGGTAAGGAAAGGTTAAGAGTGAGTCTGTCTGTCTTCCGCTGAGTTTGGCTGTTGTGAGAAAATGTGAGAAGCTCTTCCAGATTTTATCCACTGACTGGATGTCCTTGATCTCCTACTGTAGGTTTATATACGAGACGGAGCATCACAATGGAATTGCGGAGCTCTTAGAAATCTTAGGAAGGTGAGTGTGCACACTGTCAGTGTTGCCATGACAAACCTGAGAGGAGGTCTTTCTCTCTGGGCGAAACTGAAAGTGACCGTCTCACGTTCTTCCCACAGCATAATTAATGGCTTTGCCCTGCCACTGAAAGAGGAGCACAAAATGTTCCTGATCAGAGTGTTACTGCCTTTACACAAAGTCAAGTCTCTCAGCGTCTATCACCCACAGGTACGTCACAGGACCACGCTCTTCTCAAGATGATTGTTTTGTTGAGGACTTTGATGTAGAAAAGATTGCTTTCACTGTAGGGGTGGGTGGTTATAAGCAAACACTTGGTTGTAAATGTCACAGTGGGCTCAGCTTGTAATAATTGTTCATTTTTGTAAAACTCCCAAAATTATTATTATTATTTATTTTGGTTGCGATTTTATTGTGAAGGCTCGTACACTTTTCGTTTGCGTTTATCGTCATCGTTTTTCAAGATGTTTTTCCGGATTCAAGCCCAGTCGATTTTTCACTGGAGTCGTGCAGAAGAGTATGCAAAATCCCTCCTTGACGTAAGATGGCGCTACACAACTTTAAGCTTCTGACACCCGCTTTTAACACAGAAGAAGAAGAAGAGAGAAAGTTGACACTTGTTGGTAAAGTTACTGGCGATTTGAACAAGCATGGATGGTTCAAGCAGCAACTCTAGCGATGAAGAAATGATTATTGTTCATAAGTGCAATGAGCAGCTCCATGTTCACATATCTAACACAGATTAAGATCTTATTTAACAGTTTAAGATGAATGTGTACAGTTCATTCTGTTCTGTTTTGTTTGACAGTAGAACAAGAGCAAAAACAAAAGGCTTGACCGAGCATACAGCTTTTTCTAACAAGCTATTATTCATGGTCTTCTATTATACATGGTGTTATTTAAAAAAAGCTCACTAGAGCTCTGAACCTACACTAGTTTCACGGTTCGGTTTGGTTACGATTATCATGTCATCAATTCGGTTCAATTCGATATTTCGGTGCATCACGGTGCATTGACGATGCTTTTATATTTTTTTCAAAGCAGCAGCTCTTGTATTAAAATGTATGAATATATTTATATAGGTTATTATTTGTAATACAATTGTGTCATTTAATACAAACAGTCAGATATATAAACTGTAACTTTGAAAAAAAACGAGCATTAAGCAAATAATATAAACAAATATAAATATCCAGCTCAATTTCTGATCCTTGTCTAGTTCTCCTACACCCCTTTGATTTGGTATTGATTGGGTTGCGATTGGCTCTTGCGTGCTGCGCTCTTCAGGTGAATCATAAGCGGCAGGCGGCAGTGGCGATCTCACAGCTGATGTATGATAGACACGGTGGAGAAAACTCTGCAGACACGCGCTCGTTTCTGTATCCAAAAGTAACGCTGTAAAACAGCTGAGAGGAGAAGAAAAGCCACGCCAGCAGGTCAAATGGGCCACTGTGTGTGTGTGAGAGAGAGACAGAGCGAGAGCGAGCGAGCGAGAGTGAGAGAGAGAAATGCAGTAGGCTCATTCTCAAACTCACACAGTGAAATTGTGCACAGTTCATGAGTATTAAGTAGTTAGAGCGTTGTAAATACTCGTGATCGTCTCCCTTGCGACAGAGCGCATATGAGGTAAATGACATCAGTAATAACCGGTTATGATTATTACTGAACCGATACCGAATTGTCCGCGTCTGCATCGAAGAAGTGATTAATTTTGACACCCCTAAAGCTCACATTATTCTGCATATCACCCATACACCTGATGTGTATAATGTTATGCACAACAATATTAATAGGATAAATAGGATCAGTGACTGTGTTAATCACACTTGTTATTATTGTAATGTCATTTTGGGGAAAAATCATTTCCTGTGTTTTCAGCTGGCCTACTGTGTGGTGCAGTTTTTGGAAAAGGACAGCAGCCTCACTGAACCTGTAAGATTTACAGCCCTGGCAACGGCACCTTTGCTTTCTTCCTGTCACTATTATTAACCGTTCTTTTCAAGTCTTTATGAATTCTCTATTCATGATGAACTTGCCGAGATTGCTTTCTCAGCTATTTGCCTTCCTCCTTTTGTTCTCAGGTGATCATGGGCCTGCTGAAGTTCTGGCCCAAGACACACAGTCCGAAAGAGGTGATGTTTCTGAATGAGCTGGAAGAAATCTTGGACGTCATCGAGCCCTCGGAGTTTGTTAAAGTCATGGAGCCTCTGTTTAGGCAGCTGGCCAAGTGTGTATCCAGTCCACACTTTCAGGTATGACAAAAAAGATCTTGCTCTATCATTAGCCCTTTTTAGATGTAGAGTATTGCTAAAGTGACATTCAAAAATAAACTCTCGTATTTTTAGATTCTTGATCATTCTAATGTGTTTTTATTTTATTATTTTTCTATGTTGAATCCTTGTATTTTATTGCATGTTAGATTTTCTCTGTTTTTGTAGCGTTTGGGTTTTAGAAAAGCGCATTATTAATAAAATTTATTATTATTATTATTATGAAATTAGTTTCAATTTAGAGGACCATTGGATTACTATAGCATATGCAGCAAAATTAAAAATATTTGTCCCCTTACTGATTTCTTTTTTTTCAATGGCATTTTATAACATTTTCCAGAATGGTAGATCTCTATAATCTTCATTCATTCATTCATTCATTTCCTTGTCTTAGTCCCTTTATTAATACAGGGTCGCCACAGCGGAGTGCACCGCCAACTTATCCAGCATGTTTTTACACAGCGGATGCCCTTCTAGCCGCAACCCATCTCTGGGAAACATTCACACACACACTCATACACTATGGACAATTTAGCCTACCCAATTCACCTGTACCACATGTCTTTGGACTGTAGGGGAAACCGGAGCACCCGGAGGAAACCCACGCGAAAGCTGGGAGAACATGCAAACTCCACACAAAACCGCCAACTGAGCCGAGGCTCGACCCAGCGACCTTCTTGCTGTGAGGCGACAGCACTACCTACTGCGCCACTGCGTTGCCATCTTTATATTCTTTCATCATTTAATTTCAACATAATATTTAACTTTTGAGGATCTTTTGGTCTACTTTACTTTGTCAGGCAGGTCTTATTTAAGTGATTACTTGATTGCACTAATCGGATCTGGCCTGGGCTAGAAAAGTTGAACTTAAGTGTTATAAACCAGAGTTAAGTTATGTGTTAGCGGGGGCAAACACTTTTTCACACTGGACTATGTAGTTTTGTAATTTTTTTTCCTTAATTAAAACTTTAGTTTAAAAACTGTATGATTAAAAACTGTTACTTTTGACTAATATTAAAATTTATGTGATTTCATAATATTTAAAGTGTGACGCATGCAAAAACATAAGAGATCTGTAAGGGGGCAAACACTTTTTCACACAACTGTATGTATTTGATTGGGTTCCTTTGCAGTTTAGAAAAGTTTGGGTCACAATATTACAATAAGATTTCATGAGTTCATTTTAGACAATTTATTTGCTGATATGAACAAAGAATCAACATTACTTGTACAGCGTTTAATTATCATAGGTCAACATTTACTAATGCGTTATTCAAATTCAAAGTTGTCTTTAAGTTTAGTTATTGCGAGTTAGAAACTAACAACGAGCGACTTCAATGTTTTACTAATGTTAACAAAGATGAATAAACAATGGAGGAAATGTATTGTTCATTGATTGTTCATGTTAGGAAACACGTTAGGAACCTTGTTAGATTAGATTAGATTCGATTCAACTTTATTGTCATTACACATGTACAAGTACAGTGCAATGAAATGCAGTTTAGGTCTAACCAGCAGTGCAGGATACAGGTATAAGTTATAAAGTGCTGTTATAGAAAAACTATGGGGATATTTACAGATGGATATACTATCAGCATTATATACAGGTTGGATTAGCCATGAACAGATTTACAATTTATGAATATATGTGCAGGTTGCTATTAATAATCAGTAGTGTGCAGATAGATAAACATGATTACAAGTGTATATGTAACAATATATGAATATATGTGCAGGTTGCTATTAATAATCAGCAGTGTGCAGATAGATAAACATGATTACAAGTGTATATGTAACAATATATGAATATATGTGCAGGTTGCTATTAATAATCAGTAGTGTGCAGATAGATAAACATGATTACAAGTGTATATGTAACAATATATGAATATATGTGCAGGTTGCTATTAATAATCAGTAGTGTGCAGATAGATAAACATGATTACAAGTGTATATGTAACAATATATGAATATATGTACAGGTTGCTATTAATAATCAGCAGTGTGCAGATAAATAAACATGATTACGAGTGTATGTGTACAGTGGGTGTGTACATAATTACAGATGTCCATGTGCAGTGGGTATGTAAAGTTCAAATAAGTGAATCAGTACAATGAATATGTGCAAATTTTAAATATGCTAATGCCAAACAGTGCAGTGATTGTGAGGAGTATAAGTAACGGAGAGTGGGGGGTCTATGGGGGAGAGGGGGGAGCAAAAGAGTCTGTGCGGGGCAGAGTTCAAGAGGGAGACAGCTCTGGGGGAAAAGCATAGCTATTATAAAGCATAGATGCACTTTGGTTGGATAAAGTAAATGGTAGAGTTCATTAAATAATTGTAACTGATTTTGCATTTTATTTGAATGCGTGTTACCATCACAGAATAGCAATAGACATGCTAATTGTTTGGCAATAGACATTGATAAAAAGGGTTTACGTGAATGTGTTGTGCTTTATCTGACAGCCAATGAAGCAGTCAGCGGACTTTAGTTTTTTGTGTTATCTCTTTTTTTTTTTTAAGTGTTTACTAGTCAATTGTTGTTTTATTTTATTTTATTAGCAGCAAAATGGCATGCATAGAATGTTAACAGTCTGATTTTAAAACGGTGCATGAGATAAAAAGATGCATTAAATACGATATGAAAAATACAACAGAGTGTGGAAAAGAGTGTGATTTTTGAAATGGAAACCGTGTAGTATTTCTGTAGCATGTTTGTGTGTGGAAGTCATTGTTCTGTGATGTTCGTGTGTTTCAGGTGGCTGAAAGAGCATTGTATTACTGGAACAATGAGTACATCATGAGCCTGATCAGCGACAATGCCGCCAAGATCCTTCCCATCATGTTTCCAGCTCTCTACAAGAACTCCAAGAGCCACTGGAACAAGTACCCTGCTTATTACTTTTCATTTCTGGAGTAGTCTCCCTCGATATGAGTTAAGCCTCTGGGTTTTCAGAAATCAGAATCACACTTGTACTCCATTCGGTCATAGTTTTTATTTATTATTGAAAAAAAAATAGATTTTGCATTTTGAGAGGATGTGGTTAAAAAAAACTATATTTATGCCGTATAATAATATTTATTTTTAAATCAGAGCAGTGTTTCTAATAAGAATAGAGACTCTTCCATTCAAATACAAATTTTAGCAAGCAGATTAGTACGATTTGGTTTAAAGAAAAAAGAAAAACCTGTGTATTGTGGTGGTGTAACCGCTATAGATGCATGTATAGCTCCCTATATGAAAGCTTGTAAATTCGTAAGGCTTTTTTGACATAGTTAAGCTTTAAGTTATAGGCATGTGTGAGCGTGTCTTTCTGTTTTAGAGTGTCAAAATTTTACTGTCGAAGGCTTTTCCTGATAAGTGACTGAATTTTTGAATGGATTTCACATATAAAAACTTTGCTTTATATTGGCGGTACAGTTATTTTAGGTGTGTTTTTTTTTTTTTTTTTTAAGAGGGCCACCGCTTCACTGCTGTTTTTTTTCTGTATTGTGGCTGATTTGTAGATTGTACACAAAAATTCTCAGAATTAATTTTTTTTATTTTTGGTAAAATATCGCTTGGTCGGTCACTTTTGACTGAGGAGTTCAGGTGTGACTTTTTATTATAAGCCCACTTTGCCTGCTGAATCTTGCTCCCAGTTTTTTGTTATGTTTACATTGCAAAAACTAAAGTCACAAGGTTTCGTACTAGTGTGTTAAAGCTGTGATTTAAAAAAAAAAAAAAAAAAAAAAAGCTAACATTTTTCAGTCAAAATTTTTTTACTTCCATGTTAGTAATCATTTGAATATTAAGTCATGGTCATGTTCCATGAAGACATTATTTTCCTGATGTAAATATATCAAAACATTTTTTTTTGCACTACATATAGACTGTTTTAAAGGTAATTTTTTCAGTATTTCGATTCATTTTATTTATTTATTTATTTATTTAAATTTTTTTTTTTTTGAACACTTAGATTCCAGATTATTTTAAGTATTGTCCTCTTAAAGTATACAGCTGGGAAATAAGTATTGAACATGTCATAATTTTTCTCAGCAAGGATATTTCTAAAGGTGCTGCTGACTTAAAATTTTCACCAGATCTAAAACAAATCTAATTAGTTTACAAATGAAGTTATGCACAATGAAATGATGCAGGGAAAAAGTATTGAACACATGAAGAAAGGGAGGTTTAGAAGGGCAGTGAAAGCCCAGACAGCAGCTGGAATCTCTCAGTAGTTCTTCAGCAATCCTCTGCCCTTCCTCAGTGTAAATGAATATCAGCTGCTTCAGTTCAACATCTACATTAGCAGGAGGATGAAGATGAAACCAGGGTTGACATTTCAGCAAGACAATGATCAAAAACACAGCCAAGGAAACTCTCAAATGCTTTCAGAGGAAGAAAATCAAGCTGTAGAATGTCCCAACCAATCACCTGACTTGAATACAATAGAAAACAGTAAATAAGGATCCGATTTGATGGACACGACCCACAGAACCATCAAGATTTTTACGCTCTGTTGAAGTCTGTGAAAAACTCACACCTGAGCAATACATGTGACTTCATTCTCCATATGAGAGGAGTCTTTAAGCTGCCATCAGCAAAAAAGCTTTTATGCAAAGTTTTAAATTTGTTTCAGTAGTTCAGTGCTTTCTCCTTGTGTCATTCCATTGTTATTTCACGATAAAGTCTAGATCAGATACGCAGCCGGCCGGAGTTGCAATATGCACATTAATATAGCAGCGTTTTTTATGACACTGTATAACAAGAATTAATCTTTTTACAGGACTGTGACTGGTTGGGTTTAGGGTTGGGGTGGGAGTAGGCTTTAAAAAATACAATTTATTGGGTAATTTAATAGATAGCGTAAATAATACTCAGTACAACTACTGTTTTTATGTTACTGTCACAGTTGGGTTTAGGGTTGGGGTGGGGGTAGACGTTAATAAAATACGATAAATGGGAAATTTAATAAATAATATAAATCTCGTTAATTTTCGGCCGCAAACGTATCTGATCTAGTAACAACTTTATTACACAGAGCTAATTTTTCAGATGTTTGGGTTTTTACCAAAATCTGGTTTAATTCCACGTCAAAAGCTCCTTTAGAAATATTCCCAGAAAAAAACATGATGTGTTTAATAAGTATTTTCCCCACTGTACATCAATGAAGAGCTTATTTATTCTGCTTTCTGGTGTTGTGTGTATATATATATCTCTTGGTTTTGTGGTCGATAGCCACTTATCATCTTCAAAAGCGAATTATTTTTCTTATGATAAGAAAAAACATGTTCAAATGTGTGTAGTAATAATGCTGTTTCTTCCTGCAGGACAATCCACGGGCTTATCTACAACGCTCTAAAGCTCTTTATGGAAATGAACCAGAAACTGTTTGATGACTGCACTCAGCAATACAAGGCCGAGAAGCAGAAGTAAGTCAGAAATGGAGAATATGAGGAGGGAAAAGGAGAAGGGACACCATTTGTATATATTTTCGAGAAGCAGTTTTCATTTACTGTATCAACAAAGTGAAAGTACAGTTTAGGCATCATGTTTGATTCAGACGCGTCCTGAGATGATGTATAGATAGACGGTACTCCTGGTTTTGAGGTCTGGTAACTGGTCAAATATCAGGTCTATAAACAGCAGTGTTAATTTAGCTAATGAAAATAATATAGTTTATTTTAGTTGACTAAAACTATGATCCTACATCGAAACAAAAACCAAAAATTGTGGCCAAACTGAACGCAACAGTTGGTTGTTTGACTTAGCTTTTGGCAGCTAAATGTACTCAAATAATGTTTGTTTTTTTTCTGACAAATCCTAATAATCTCAGTACTGTTTTCCTATTTTTCCCTAGAGAGAAGTACAAAGTTAAGGAACGGGAAGAAATGTGGCATAAAATTGAAGCGCTAGCAAAACAGAACCCTCAGGTAAACACTTTCTGCTATGCTGTACTTTTTTATTTTATTAAAATGATTTCTGTGATGTAAATTATTGGAGAAATGATTTAATAAAATTATTTTAAAATGAAATATATACACAATGTGACTGAGGCCATCCAAAAAGTATTAGAAGTCAAATGTATTATTTGACAAAATGTATATATCTGAATAATTAAGAAGCTTAGATATTGCTAATGGTATAGTAAGTAGAGGTGTGAACCTACACTGGTCTCACGGTTTGGTTACAATTATCATGCGATCGATTCGGTTCAATTCGATTTCTTGGTGCGTTGACGATGCTTTCCATAGTTATATATGTTCTTCACAGCACAGCAATTATTGTTTTAAAATAAATATATTTATATACTATTTGTAATACAATTTTGTCCTTTAATACAAACAGTCAAATAGATAAACTGTACCTTTTAAACAGCACAAGCATTTATAGCAAATAAACAAATATAAAAATCCCGCTCGCTTTCTGAGCCTTGCCTAGCAAGTTATTTCTGGTCTTGTGCTCAACAAAAAGGGCTGGGATTGGCTCTTACACGCTGGCGCTATTCACAGATGAGTGACACTGATAAACGGCAGCAGCGATCGCAGCTCATCCATGATAGACACAGTAAACTCTGCAGACACGCGCTCGTGTCTGTATCCAGAAGTATCACTGTTACGCCCCGTTCACTTTGAATGGGTGACGTCAGGTGTGGCCAAACATTGTGGATCCGTCAGCGCTGCTTCAGAGGCGTTGCTCGCTGCAGAAGTTGGGACTAGCTCAACTTTTCAAGCGCTGACGGGAGCGTCAGCCAATCAGATCGCTGTATGCAAATACACCAGCTGGGCAGTGGCCTATTGCTGACTGAATTTCATTGGCTAACGCTGCTATGACGATCGTTTCAGCCCCATCTTCAGACACGCCTTCAGTCAAGCATTGATGCTGAAGCCCCGTGTGAATGGGGCGTAACAGCCTAGAGGACAGGAAAAGTCACACCAGCAGGTCAAATGGGCCTCAGTGAGAGAGAGAGAGTGAAAGACTGTCCAGCAAACACACACAGTGAAATTGTGCAGTTTCTGCGTTGTTTTTAAGTAGTTCGAGCGTTGTAAATACTCGCGCTCGCCTCCCTCGCCATAGTAAGCTACGGTGACATAGTGCATATAAGACGTCAGTACATAATAACTGGTTATCATTATTACTGAACCGATACCAAATTGTCTGCATCTGCATCACGGTGCACCAAAGAAACAATTATTTTTGACACCCCGAATAGTTATATTTACAAAGGGTTGCAGCGGAAAGTGCATCCACTGCATAAAACATATGCTGGATAGGTTGGCGGTTCATTCCACTGTGGCAAGCCCTGATTAATAAAGGGACTATAGGGAATAAATATATAGTTATATTTACCTTTATTCTCAAAGTGTTCCCTTAAATGTTGATTAGCATGTGGAGGACTTGTTTTCTTTTTTTTTTTACATATTGTAATTAGCATTAATTAACTCTAGACTACTCCTGACGAGTGTAATTTTCACAACTCGTCTCTCGAGTCACTGGTGTGCTCTGAGGGCAAACACACAATCAACCGGCTGTTTAATCAGTGTGTGATGAGGGATCCTGTGAATGTGTTTGTCAACTATAACTTTGAGATTTATTTATGTTTTACAGAGTACAAAGGTTCAGCTGCGGCCTGGTCTGGCTCAGGAGGAGGTAAGTCATTTATTAATGTGAACATAATAGTTCATGTGCCTTCAGTCTAACCTTTGGGTTACTTATCTCTTTCCTAAAAGATTCTGTTGAGGTGTAGTGTGGGAGATATGAACCAAATCTATGATTAATTTAAAAACTGGGGTTTAATAAACATAGTGTATATAAATATATATATATATATATATATATTTATATTTATATTTAATATATATATATATATATATATATATATATATATATATATATATATATATATATATATATATATTATAACTAACATTATACATCTTAACATTTTTTACTACATATTAGGGGTGCAACAATAGTCTTCTCAAGGTTTGGTTTTAGAATATGAGTTCAATAATATAAGGTCAATATTATTAGGTCCCTAGAGTATTTTTATAAATTTTTTTGATTGTACACCTAACAAACCATCGTTATACAATAACTTTCCTAATTACCCTAGTCAAGCCTTTAAATGTCACTTTAAGCTGAATATTAGCATCTTGAATTTCTAGTGAAATATTATGTACTGTAATCATGGCAAAGATAAATCAGCCATTAGAAATGAGTTATTAAAAATATAATGATTAGAGAGTGCTGAAAAAATCTTCACAGAAATTGGGGAAAAAAAATATACAGGGGTGGCTAATAATGCTGACTTCATCTGTATGCATGTTTGTGCGTCTGCAGTATATGATGTACAATGAAGGAGGGATGCCGATATACTCGATGGAGACTGAAACCCCGACAGTGGAGGACATCCAGCTGCTGAAGAAGACTGTGGAGTCTGAAGCCTCGCAGGTAAGATGTGATCTTCACAGGAGCTTCAGATGCCAAACAGTGGATTTGCATGCATTGACAAGCTAGTTTTGTGCAGTTTTCACAACTTTAGAGAAAGCAGCTTTTTTTATTTGTACCAGAGCTGACACCAGACATTGTTTTTCCTGAGAGTTGAAGCCTTTTAGTCTGAGGCACAATGTCGTTTTGTCCCATGACTGGAGCCTTTTAGTCTGAGGCATGGCGGTATTTAGTTTTATAACTGAAGTTTGAGGATTTTCTAAAATACACAGCGCACTAGTTGTTTATCATGGTCATCAGTATATGCAGTATTATTTTAGATTTGATTATTCGATGAATATCTGAATACTGACTCCTCAGAAAACTTTTCTGGCAGAAGTCAGGATCTTTCTTGGTTTTTTGTGCTGCCTACAGATGAAAATACCCTCTTTGAGTTGCATAATGCAGTTAAATGCGATATTTTAGTTTCATTTTGTTAAGATTGATTGTTGGCCTTTATTAGGACAGTTTAAATAGGACAGTATTTAGACAGTAAGCAAAGTTGGGTAGAGAGAGAGATAGATGGGGGAGGGGGTGTGCGTGTGGGAGTCGTTGGGAGGATGTTGGGGGTTGGGTAGGCAAATGTCCTCGAGCCGGGATTCGAACTCAGGATGCCGTGACATGCTACTGCACCATATGTTGATGCACTAACCACTAGGCTATTGCGCCGACTTTATTAATGTATTTATATAAATGAGGTAACAGTGTTTTGGGAGTTAACTGTGTTTTAATACAGCTCTCAAGCATCTTGCAATGTAAAAATAAGCTTTCATATGCTGTGTTCACACCAAACGCGGAACGTGCAGATAAATCCCGCTATTCATGCGTAAATTGCCGCATGAACATTTGAGTTTACTCTCTTCATTCACGCATCAAATCCCCTTCACAACAGACCCGAATTCGTGTCATGGGCAGGGCTTCTGTCAGCCCGGTGACTCTAGCTTCGTTGCTAAACGGCTAACATGGAATTTATTGATAAAATAACAGTGTTTGTGTGCTTTATGAAGACCGAAAAACATCACCGATTCATTTGGAGCAGTGTGTGAGTCCACTAGATCCTTTCAGAGGTGCACCCAGCTCTGAGAGCTCATAAACTCCTCCAGAAATTTAGCCTGGATGACGGAGGCTTTCAGCGGTGCTTCTGACTGAGCCGAGCCCAGTTTGATGAACTTTTGTCAGTGTGTGCAGGAGGATTTCCCCCGGGACACCAACAACAGGTGGAGCGTGATAATCACGCCCCCACAAGAGCAAGCTCCTGATTGGTAAACGCGGCACGAATGTCTGTTGAAGTTCAGATTTTCGAACTCAAGCCGAACGCGCATTAAGTGCATCAAACGCTCATTCCCGCCGCAACAGTCATGCGTATCGCGCCATTCGCACCGCTCCATTCACGCGGATCACGTCGCATGATGTCTATTCGCGAGCTTGCATTGACTTAACATGTAAATCACTTGCACTTGGCACTTCTTCCGCATCTGGTGTGAACACAGCATTCGTAAGCATAGTTTATTATTAGGCTATTCATATGCTATATTTGTAAATACAGCTGATGTAAAAGCATTTTCAATGTTTAGGATTTATTTAGGCTACTGTGGAAAAAAATACTGTTTTCATTGTAACCTGTGTGCGTTTATCTAACTATTAATATTATACAAATTTAGGTGATTGACGCTGGCATAACGATGTGGATGATGGAACATTACCGTTAGTTGCTAGGCAGTCAAGAACTTTTCATGTGTCTTTCTGCAGTTAATGCACTTTTGAAAGATACTCTCAGTTAGCCAGATTGCTTGCGTTTCCGCTTATACAAGCAAACAACTTGTTGCGTTTGTTGCAACGATCAGTCGCTGTCCTCTCAGGAAATACAACCCCTTAGGTTCACTCTGCAAGCTTACGAGCTGTGTGCGCGAGGCTGTGTTGCGAGCTAAGTGTGTGTGCGCTTAGCGCGAGCCTCTGCTGAGTGCGCGAAAACTGTGAAGGCTTTTATACTTGACGCTCTCGCCCGTAACATGAGCATTTCTCATGTGAGGTTGCTAACTGCGCAGACAAGGTTGGTCAGTTAAATTATGCAACTATGAGTTATGTTTATTCAGCAATAATTCTCCAATAGCAGAACTGTTAACGTCAGAGCTTATGGATACTTCGTTTTTTTTCTTTTTAATAATTTACAATGTAAAGTACCGGGGTTTAGTACCCATCCCTAATTGTTGGTATGTGTGCGCCACTGAATGTGTGTGTGCACGCTTGTGTGAACACCCGCACTACTCTGCCTCTGATTGGCAAACGGTGGAAATGTACTCTATCTAAGGGTGCCTTCACATCTGTAGTTCGCTTCATTAGGTCCGGACCAAGCGCAATAAATGATACATTGTTGCATTTTCTGCCGTCTTTGGGTCGTTTTCACACCACACTGCTGGCTTTGGTCCGAACCAGTTGAAACAAAATGCAGTTATCTGACAAAATCCACATCTCTCATTGGCCAGATGTTGTTGAACATATTTCCTAAACTGCTTATTGATTGGTCAGAATTCACGTGCGGGAAAATGCCAGTGAACTCCCGCAGGTAAACAAAACCTTTTACTCTGGAGGGACGACTGCGCTGGCTGATTGTATCTCTGCTTTAGACAAACTATAAATTACGAAAATGAAGCGTGGCCACGGCTGGAAAACAGTGTTTAATGCATCGCTCGTCACTTCAGGAGGCGTGAATTAATTTAGCTAAACTGCAACATGTTTATCTTGCGTAAATATAACCAACGATCCATCAGGTAATGTTTTCCCCTCTCACTGTTGGTAAAGCGCGGTCAACAAATATTTTTCCTCCATATCCCATAATGCTCAGCGCATCTGCCTACGGCAGCTGAATTAGTCCAAAACGCGCAGTACTTTTTGCGGTTGGACCTGTTTTAGTACGAATCATATTATCACCACAAACGAACCACTCCAGGGTTCATTTGAAAGCGTACCGAGACCACCTCTTCAAGCAGGTTTCGGTACGCTTATTTGGTCCTCTTTTGGTGCGCACTCGAGTACGATTGCTGCATTCTCACCTGCCCAAACGAACCATACCAAAAGGGGAAACGAACTCTAGTGCGATTCAATCAAACTAAATAAGGCAGGTGTGAAAGCACTCTAAGCCAATCATCACGCTCGCAGTTACACTACGTTCATTGACACCCCAATCATCATCACCGGTTGGTTATGTGTACCGCCCCAGCCCCAAACACACACAGACCCCAAAGAAAGAGAGATCCTATGGCTGAGAAAGACGCTGCTCAAATAAAAACCGCTTCGGTGTTTTTGATTATAGTAACGAGCATTTTATTATTGGTAACGATGTTATAACGTGAAACAGTAACTCATTTGAGTACTCGTTACTGAAAGTATCGTGGTTAGTTATGCCGTTTATTTATAGCGCCGTTAGTCCTATCATACGCATGCTCAATCTCCGTAATGTTTTTTATTGTTGTTTTTCAGGGAATGAAAGAAATCAAGAAAGACAAGGTGTTGATGAGGCGAAAGTCTGAGCTGCCGCAGGATGTGTATACTATAAAAGCTCTGGAGGCGCACAAGCGAGCAGAAGAGTACCTGACGGCCAACCAGGAGGCGCTCTGACGGGGGCGCCCCGCCACCCTCCTCCACGCCTAAACTGTCCCTCTCGTCCTGGTCCGGAATTGTCGCCTGCTGTAACCCACCACCTCTGTTCCTCTGTCCATACTCTCTTCCTCCCTCGCTGTCGGAGAGCCTGTCTGCAGATGTACACGGAGCAGTGGAGAGCTCCCACAAACACACACACCCTCCATAGCTGCTGATTCTTCCACAGTAGTGTGGGTTACAAATAATCCGAGTTCGCTCCTGCTGTAGTCGCTTTGTTTTTCTCCATACTCCACCTTTATTTATTTAGTCCACCGTCTCCGCATGTTCCCGTCTTCATTTCCACCGCTGCTTGTTCGCCTGCCTCTGTGAATCTGTCCTCTGATGTGTGTTCGCAGCGCACACCAAACCAATCATGCTACTTGAGATCCGCTGACGCCATGCTGGAGTTTTAGGCTTCTGTGTGGCTCGCAGTAGGGGAGTGATTCTTCATGTCGTACAAACGTACACCTTCATGAGTTAGACTATGGAGTTTGAGATCGACTGTTGTAGTGGCCTAGGGATGTAAATGTTTAATGTTGTTTCACAGATTAGCCGAGGCTGAAGTTTGGCTTAATCCTATTGCTGGTTTCCTAACGATTGTGTTGATGAATGTCAAACAGCGCAGGGAGCAGTGTGAACGCAATCCCCACGAGATCTTCATCTTCAACCACCAGCAGAGCACCTGATGGGAATGCTGTATAAGGTAGTTTACTGAATGTGCGCTAAACACATGCACCACTGGCCTGTAGGCCCTCACTGCACTTACATTTGTATGCATCGCTGTTTTATTCGTCATTTTAGGATGCCGTTAATCAAATCTCCACCTTCATGTTTGTCTTCTGTAATGCGTCAAAGCTAGAATGAAATCAAACTCTTGTTATGCTTTTAAAAAGGAAAACGTTCAAGATCGTGAACTACTGTGCTGTCCAAGATTGTACGTCTTATTTCGATGTTTAGTTTCGTTTTTCACTTTAAAAAGCGCCTACGCCTTTTGTTTGTGTTCAGGAATTAGAATGATGTAAGATCAAGCGCTATACAATCCTCCTAATAGGACTATATTCTTAAAGAAAGAAAAAAAAATAAATAAATAAAGAAGATAATCGCTTACCTGTCCAGGCATACATAGTATATGGAAAATCGACAGCCTGCAATTGCCATTGCAAATACTTGTGCGTACTGTATATTGTCATGTATATTGCTTATGATTGCACCCTTGCCCTTCAGTATTCCCTCTTCCTGTCCATCACCATCATCATTTCTTTAATTCTGTTAGCTTGTATGACTTCATTGATGCATGATGTCCCCTCTCTGTTGTATTCGATCATTCCAATAGCGGGGGAACATTCATTCACTCACAACACAACACTTTACTACTGTCCAGCAAGCAGCTGAAAGGAATAGCTCACCCAAAAATGAACATTTTGGATAGTTTCTTACATCTCTTGAACACAGAAGTAGATATTTTGAAGAATGTTGAAAACCTGTAACCATTGACTTCCATAGTAGGAGAAACAAGCACTGTGGAAGACTAATGTTTTCAGCATTTTTCAAAATATCTCCTTTTGAAGATACTCAAATTGGTTTGTTGTGATTAACCGAAGACTATTTTCAATTTTGGGTGACGTCCTGCTGCTAAAACCTGTGCGTACAATTCGACTCGCGCTATTATTACAGCATATAGTACGCGGTGCAGAGGCGAAGTCTGTAAATCACTAGCTGTTTGAAGTGTTGCAGTGTCACCGAAGCCTTTCAGCGTACGGGAACGGCTTGTCCGTGCAGTCAAGAGCATGAATTGCCAACCTAGCTGCCTCTAAATAGACCAAAACATTCCAGAAACAATCGGAGGCAACTTCACTCTTGAACGCCGCATGCTTCCTTCCTCGATGCAGCTCGACAGGTGGACGGGGGCCAGTGTTCAGCTCAAGAAACCCGAGGGAAATGAAGAAAGTATGGGTCTCTCCACACCTTCCCTTTCCTCTTCCCAGCCCTCCTTCCCCTCCCCAGTCCGACACTAATCTTAAGCTGCTTTCCAGGTCATATGTACATATGTTGTACTTTAATTAGGTTGAGCATTACATAGTATGAAAGTCATATTTTGTACAGATGTTCATGTATGTACAGAACAAAAATAAAGAGAGAAACACAAAAAGACGTGATGGGAGGTTTGCTTTGCTCAAGCTGTGTGAAATGCATGAGGGGGAAGTCACTTATTGCACAATAGGAATCTTATATAACATAACTGGGATGCGATGTTAATTTAAAAGCAAAACACTTTAACCTTACCTAGCTTCACTTTACCCCCACAAAAAAAAAACATACACCGAATAATTAACAAAACTGTTTGGGACGAGGCTGAAATACGTCAAGGGTGTTTTCCAGACATTTCTTACCCAATCAATGGTTCAAAACGATTAAAAGCTTGACTATTAAAGAAACACTCAACTTTTTTGGCCTCATTTTACAGCTCCCCAAAAGTTAAACAGTCAAGTTTTACCATTTTTAAATCCATTTACTTTTAGCTTAGCTTAGCATAATTCATTGAATCGGATTAGACCATTAGCACATCTCTCAAAAATGAGCTTTGATCATTTTCCCATTTAAAGCTTGACTTGTAATGTTACTACATAAGATTCATGCTTTAATGTGGATAATTATTTGAACTTTTCATATTAATTTGAGCAAGATGCTAACGGTCTAATCCGATTCAATGATCTATGCTAAGCTAAAAGGGCTCCCGCCACATCCAGAGATCAGCTTGATGGAGTTAATATCTTAACTCTTGAGCAGGGGTGTCCAAACTTGGTCCTGGAGGGCTGGTTTCCTGCATAGTTTAGCTCCAACTTCCTTTAACACACCTGCCTGGAACGTTTTAGTATACCTACAAAGAGCTTGATTAGCTGCTTCAGGTGTGTTTAATTGGGGTTGGAACTAAAATATGCAGGACACCGGCCCTCCAGGACTGAGTTTGGGCACCCCTGCTCTTGGGGAAATGTTTCCAAAACAGTGGTGTGCTCCTTTAAGACAGTGGTCTCAAACTCAATTCCTGAAGGGCCGCAGCTCTGCATAGTTTTGCACCAACCATCTCCAACTCACACCTGCTTAATCAGTAATCTTGAACACCTTCATTAGTTACAACAGCTGTGTTTAATTATGGTTGGAGCAAAACTATGCAGAGCAGCGGCCCTCCAGGAATCCAGTTCAAGACCTATGCTTTAATATTTCCATGTCTTTTCATCCACACGCAGTTTGTATAAATGTGCCTTTTTGATGGGTTTGAGACGAGCACATCGGGCTCATGTTTTAATTGTGTTCCAGTCTCAGGCCTGCAGAGCTCTGTCTGGACTGAAGCGTCTGCTGCACCATGTCCTTCCATTGGTCGTCAGAGATTTCCCGGGCCCAGGCTGGGATTCCCAGTGTCGGCAAATTGATAGCCGCCATGGTCCTCTTGACCAGTTCAACGTGATCTGTGAACAGAAGAAACACAACATATTAGTGCGCTTTAGGTGAACTGGTTGTTAGTCTTTTTTTAGGATCCATGTTGATGCTAAACTATGAATATTTCTTAAAGTTTTCGTTGGAGCTATTATGCAAAAAACACTTTTATAAGGACGTTAAAAAGTTGTGTGGCGACAGTCTGTAAATATAAAAATAAAATAAATAGCTTCTAATGGTAAAAATTTATTAGTTTATTTATAATAATAACACTTGATGATAACAGTTAGAAACACTTTGACATTCTCCCCTTGTACGTGTCATCCGAGGGAGGATACCCCACCCACTAATTACAATCTCCTTCTCATTAGCATAGGACATTAGTCTTGTTTTCTGCCACTATGCTGACACACAGGCATTTGTAGCACCACCCTCTTAAAAAAAAAAAAAGAGCACAAGCTCATTTGAATTTAATGTGACTAAAACAGCACACTTAGGATTAAAGATAAAAAGGGTTAGTCTTAACAAGATAAAACACATTATCTGTGTGGTACCTTAAGCTGAAACTTCACATACACACTCTCGGGACATAAGAGACTTATTTTACGTCTTGTAAAAAGGGGCATAACAGTTCCCTGTTTATATAAGATTAACCTAAGGCTTTATTTTTCGTACTCTAGAAGTATACATTACAATTTCTGATGTTTAAATCAGTTATGATTACAGCGTTGTAGGCAAAACATTATTGATTTTCAACATCGGACAATATTAGCATCCCCTCCCCCATTTTTACAGGAAGGTTATGAGGTTACTATTTAAAATATTTTAGTTGCTTTACAGTCGCATTTAATAATTTACACCCCATTTATTTAAAAAATCTGACAAGTTTTACGCCCCATTCACACGGGGCGTCAGCATCAATGCTTCCCATTCGTCAGGTGTTCCCAAACTGCATTGTGGATCCGTCGGCGCTGATTTAAAGGCGTTGCTTGCTGCAGAAGTTGGGACTAGCTCAACTTTTCAAGTGCTGACGGAAGCGTCAGCCAATCAGATCTCTGTATGCAAATACACCAGCTAGACAGTGGCCTATTGCTGACTGAATTTCATTGGCTGACGCTTCTATGACGATCGCTTCAGCCCCATCTTCAGACACGCCTTCAGTCAAGCGCTGACGCTGAAGCCCCGTGTGAATGGGGCGTTAAAGAAATAAAAAGTTTAGATTGCTTGTCTATGAAGACAGGTGTCCTACAATAGCTATGGTACTATTCACCTATTTTTATTCTCATTTTGAAGATGCGCATTAATGAAAACATCAAGATGCACATGTTTTTATGCACATTTTCAAAACTTCTGCGCATAACTGAGTTGGATAAACTTTATTCGATAAGAAAAGATGCGCGTAAACTATGATGGAAACACTTTTACTGAACAAATTCCAGTATGCGCATTAAAAAAAGGACATGTGATTTTGTTATTAGAGATCATGTGATGACAAAAATGGGTGTGAATAGTAAAACCAGCAAGCCGAGCACACTAAAACAATGGAAATGTTGGTTTGGTCATTCTAAAATGCAATAACCGTTCAGTATTAGTGTTGTTATAATAATGAAGACCTCCAGAATCGTCAAACGCGTCTGTGCTTTGTGTCTTGCACCTTTAAACTCCACCACTCATTCATTGCGTGTCGGCATTTGTCTTCTGATGCATTCATTAAATAAGGAAAAGATTGACGCAGCTTCTCATACCGCAATAAATCCAGTTTTTACTTTCGATATTTGATGCCTGTTAATCAGGAAGTGATGATTTTGTTCCCTTTGACTATTAGGATGTAAACGCTGCTTTATTCGCATGTCTTTTATGCAATTTCAATTGCGCATAAAATTAAATCGCATCTGAGGATGCAAACATAGCTACTGAAGATAAATCACACTCATCCTATTTGCATATTAAAAAGAGGTGCTTCTCTTTTTTTTGCTGTCACATCATAAGATATTATTAGTTATTAACTAATTATTAGTATTTTCTCAAACTTAATACTTCAAACTACACAATTATAACTTTTAATAATGGTGTTTTACAAAAAAAAGCTATTTTTTTACTGCCTATTTGTCAACTACCCATATATAGATGCACATAGTGGTAATGAACGTAGACCAGGGCTGTCAAAGTCAGTTCCTGGAGGGCAGCAGCCCTGCACAGTTTATTTCCAACCCTGCTTCAACACAATTAACTGTAGAGCTGCGTCCCAAATCGCATACTTATGCACTATTCTACACCATTTTGTAGTATAAATAGTGGAAGTAGTAGTGCGTTCACCTTGAAAACTCTAAAAATAATAAGTGCACTTTAATTACTCGGATGTTGCACTCATTCAGCCGCTAAAAAGTGTGTAATGATGGACACTTCACGCACTCAACCACCGCAGGTTTGCTCACGTACTGGAAGGGGCGGAGCTATCGGCAGGACATGTTGGACAATTTTATTTTGGATGGTGAAAGCAAAATTCTCCTACCAGAGTGATTATAGCACCTCCCGATGGTGAATGCAGCAATAGTCACGGCAGATATTATTTGATAGTTTGGTCATTTATTTCACGGATTAGGCAAACGGTTTGAATTTCCGTTAGTAAAAAAACGTTAGTGCTCAATTTGGGACGACAATACATACATGTACTATACTGTTGAGTGTGTAAGTGCATAGAGCATAGTGTATAGTGTGCCATTTGAGACGCAGCTTAGGTTGCAAACAAGCCTGGAAGACTTAATTAGTTTGATCAGGTGTGTTTAATTAGAGTTGGAACTAAACTGTGCAGAGCTAAAGCCCTCCAGGAGCTTGAGTTTGACACTTGTGACTTAAACCAACACACACACAGACAGTTGATGAAACAAATGACATGATGGATTATGAAAGCCAGCCGTCTTCTTACCTTCATCCATGGGAATGGACGCGTGACTCCTGCGAGCAGCAGCTCCTTCAGGATCCTCTTCTTCATCGCTGTCAGGAGGAGGAGGATGGGGCAGGAACAGACCCATGGCCTGACAAATGTTGACAACATCAGGTTTACTATTAGTGTGCACTCTAGTCCACACCGATAATATCATTAGTAAATGACTATCAAAATGTATTTTATATTTGTAAGTTTATGTAATACATTGTAATAGCAATGTATTCATTTATTCAAATGTGATTCTCTGTGACTTATGCGCAAGGTTTGATGCAAAATAAAAATTTTATTGTATAAATGTACTTTTGCTATTTCCAACCACAGTTTAAAAATGTAAATAACAAGCTTTAATGCTTTATAAGTCGCGCAATTTAATTTAAAATGTATTGCCTAACTGAACTAATATGTGTGACGTACAAGCAGAAATGGTAGCAAATTAGTTTAGGGTTAGAAGGTTGCATTTTCATCATTAAGCTGTGGTCACACTAGAGTTTGTGTGTAAAATTCTGTTGTACGTCGCTGCGACAAGAGGCGGGATTAAACAAGATGATTAGACCTTAAAAAAAAGCGAATGATTGCTCCATGTTTTAAATTTCTGTCCAGAGAGGTCATGTTTTGATCCTTGATTGGTCTCACGCAGTCAAGTGATGCGATTTCGCAAATCAGAGTTCACCAAGCTTGAACTTTGCACCTCAGCGAACTGCGAAACTTGACGCATGACCCTGTATTTCCGGTCTGACGCATTCGCGTGTGTATGAAAGGAAGTCTATGGGGAGAAAAGTCAAGTGTGGCCGCAGCTTTACACCATGGAACTTTTGCAGCCAAAATCAATACATTTCGAAATGCATTCTGAGCCAAAGGTAGATCAGCAGTTTCTGAAATACTCCGAGCAGCCCGTCTGGCACCAACAACCATGCCACATTCAAAGTCACTTAAATCACCTTTCTTCCCCATTCTGATGCTCGGTTTGAACTGCAGCAGATCATCTTGAGCATGTCTACTTGCATAAATGCATTGAGTTGCTGCCCTGTGATTGGCTGATTAGAAATGTGCATTAATGAGCAGTTTGACAGGTGTACCTAATAAAGTGGCCGGTGAGTTTATAGTTAATTTTAATGCTTAAGTTGCAAAATTAAAAAGAAAAATGTAGCATACTAGAAGAAATGGTATCAAAATTATAGTTTAGAAGGAGTAGGATCGAATGTTCATCATTACACCGTTGGATCTGGAATGTTTTCATTGTGTATCTTTATTTCGATGTATATTTTAAAATGCATTCAGAGCCAATGGGATGGCAAAAAGACGGTGAGTTAAATGTATATTGGTTGCAATGACACTCATGATTAAGATGTTTTTAAAATATACATTTTCAATTGCTACCATTTCTGCTTGCGCACAGTAATTCAATTTGCCATTACATTTTTCATTTAATTATGCAATTTGTGTAGCATTAAAAATAACAGGTGCTTTACCAAACTGTGTTTGGAAATAGCAAGTGTAAATGACATGACTGAAATATTTATTCTGCACGTCTTGCTCATTTAAATACTCTTAATATATTGCATCTGACATTTCAAGATGAATTCTGCTTCCACAGATCAGCAGTAATACCTCTATTCTCTCCTGGACGTCCTGCAGCTGTTCTGCAGTGGTGCCCTCATCGGCTGGCTCTGTGTGCGAGCCGTTCACCCCGTCTGGGTCTTGATTCAGAGGCTGATAATAATATCCAGCGCTGTCCTGATCTCCAGCACCTCCTTCATCCTCCTCCTCCTCCATGTCCTCTCCGCTCCACTCCTCCGGCACGGCAGCGTCTAAAGGCCGGTCCTGCACCACATCCTCCTCGGAGTTCGGTAAGATTCTCTCGGGACCCATTTCTCGGGCCCTCGCCACTTCCATTCAAGGGCTGCGAACAGACACAATATTGAGACATAAGAAAATTCTTATCGTAGTTTAATGTGCTTAACATCGACCAAACTTTCAAAGCTTGTAATTATTATCAAAAAACTAGCCGCTAATTCACAAAGTGTATAACATCCAGTGATCTATAAAGAATGGCTATTAGTAATGATTCTTATATAGTAGTTTCATGAGTTTCTTCTGTTGAACATAAAAGAAGATATTTAGAAAAATGCTGAAAACCTGTGGCCATTGACTTAGTATTTGTTTTTCCTACTATGGAAGTCTGGTTACAGGTTTCTAACAGTTTTCAAAGTAACTTCTTCTGTGGTTAAGAGAAAATAGAGAGTCTTAAAGGTTGGAGAGCCACTTGAGGAAGAGTAAACAATGAGTCAAGTTTCATTTTTGAGTGAACTCTCACTTTAATGTGGCTCGAGTTAACTCAACAACCAGCAGTGGTGGAAAGAGTACTGAAAAATCATAAGTAAAAGTACCATTACTTGCCTAAAAATGTAGTGAGAGTTGAGTAAAAGTAGATGTTGTAAATATTACTCAAAGTATGAGTAAAAAGTAGCCCTTTCAAAAGTTCATATGAGTAGTGAGCATTACGCTGTGAAAAGCTGATGTGTTTACATGTAATTTGTGGTTGTGTGTAAACGTAACATTCTGTAGTCCATATTGTAGTTGATAGTCATTGGCTGCTAACGTTAATATGATTACCATATTTAGATTTAGCAAAAAAATACTTTTCTGAAAGGAAAAAGTCTGAATAAGCGAATATAAAACCAACTTGAAGCTATTTTCAATAGACTTCTATGAAGGAGAAAAGACTTAATGCGCTGTTATACACTTTATCTGTGGACTCTGCAGTAGTTAGCGTTAATTACAGTAACGTTTGACAGAAATGTTGGTTGCTCTGATGTTTTCGCGCATTAAACGTTTTAGTTTTAACAATTATATTAAATTAATATTTTAGGAAATGTACTGGTAGATGTTAAAACACTGAGGTGTTAGGAAAAAGTGTGCATGTGCAATTTAACATCAACCTGTTAAGGTATGCTTATGCTATAACATCATGCTAGCCTAAACACATTTCATATCATTTCAGGGTTTTGACACACGAATGCGTCTTTTTAGCATTACGAATACAATTAAAAGCAAACTATAAGATAATCTCTGGCTGTTTCCTCTTACCTCTTGATTCTTTCGAGCTCTTTTATTCGTTTGTTTTCAGCTGATGCATCTGTATCCGAGAAGAATCTATTTGTTTCCGGTGTTGCGCAGTGATTGCGTCACGAAACGTCAACACGCCAAGCGACGTATCTTGCGTAAATTAAAATACTCGATTTTTTTATGCTTTTTGACAGTTTGTTTAAAATTGTGACTACCTCATGTGAATGTGCAATATATAATGCATATAATTATGCATTAACATATCATGAGTTTATGATGGTTTAATTAGGCACAAACTGATGCATTAATTACCAAACAAGCATGTACTTGTAATTAAGGTAGTCATTATTCACACATGAACTCAGGTTGTAGTTAAAGTTAGTTCATGAGTAGCACATTCATTAACTCATCATTAGTTCATAATAAAGTAATGTTTAGTTTACATTATTGCATCATTCATGTACTGTCAATGTAAAGTGTTACTTTAAAAAAATTATATTTTTATATTCATGATATCAGAAAGCTTTATTACTGTAAGGCAAGACAAGGCAAGTTTAATTATATAGCACATTTCATACACAGTGGCAATTCAAAGTGCTTTACATAAACAAGCATAAAAAAGACAAGTTTAATAAAAAACAAACAATAGAAATAATTAAAAACAGAATAAAATGTGTTAAAACAGGTTATATACTGTATGCACTTTGTTCTGCAGTAAAATAAGTCATGAATACATCTTTTAGGTGATTTTTTTTATTAAATAGTTAATATTCCGTCTATATATTGTATAGTAATAGAGGGCATATATGAATAAGTAACTAGCAATGATTATAAAAGCTTTCTCAGGAAATAGAAAAATAACTGCATAATAAATGTATTTTAATTTAATATAGCTTTATTTCTATGTGCACGTGGCGTATTATTGTTGTTGTGATTGATGTGATTCTTACAGTGAGCTAATGAACGAACAAATAAATGAATGTAATGTTGAATGAAGCAATTGTTGTTATGTAGCCGTCATTTGTTTAATTTTTTCTACATTTAAACAGTCGTTTTGTGTTATTTTCCCTTTTTCTGTGTATATTTTTGTACATTTGACAAACTAAGACATAAATAACCTAAAATAAACAATACATTTTAATTATGTTTTCTTTTTATGTTTTTTTCCTTCTCTAGTTAAAGAGATTTACGAAGAGGAGTAATTATTTTTTAATAAATTCTAACGTCATGAAGTGTTGTAATATACAAGCGGCCGCACGGTGGCGCTTTTCTTCGTGTGTCTGTGTACATATGCGTGTTTGCGCGGGAAATGACCTGCAGTTTATCTGAACTTCCCGTGAATGCTGTGCTGCTGAGAAAAGCACGCTTGTATCACAGAAGAAAGACGAGGACTCCTGCAAATTATGAACATATACTTTTGCGGAAGCATTCGGGGAGGGCGACAGGACGTGGTTATTTATCAGACAATAGTGAAGAAGTTGCAGCAGTATGGCAATGTTTTAACCGAGCATGTGAGTTATGACAGCCTGTCTGACAAGGGTAAATCATTTTACTCACTTTCATTTTCTGAAATCATTGCGCAACGTGTTCTAGGTCTTTCTCTTTGTCACTTTTTTCAACTTCTTTTTAAAATTTTGAATCCTATAACAATTTAAAACATGTTAATTGTAATGTTAAAGGTGCTGTATGTGAGTTTTCGACTCTTCCAAACCATAAAAATACCATAATAGGTTTTAATGGTTGAAGATATTTAAGAAACATGCCAAGTAAACATACCTGTTTATAGGAAAAACAATGTTAGTCATTTACTAACATGACTAACAAAAGTAACACTTCCATTCTATTTTTGGGGGGGTAATTGTTTTGGAAACAGCCAGCATTTTTCATTTCATTCGTTAAAACCCTGCGCACACCGGAACACTTTTTGCTCGCATTTTCCATCGACGTTTAACGCCTTGTGACTAAATAAAGGGCGGCAATCACTGTTGCCAACTATTTTCGACAAAAAGGCGCTAAGCTCTGCACTAAAAGTCGCTAGATTACGTCATACGTTAATTTGCATATTACTGACGTCATCATATTCTACTGTTTCTAAAACAGCCTTTGGTTAATAAAGGATATTTATATTTGCACTACGCTTTATGTATGCATGCAAATTGAACTAAATTTATTGCTGTTTGGATGCAGTACATCGCTAGAAAAGTCGCTAGATTTGTCGCTAGTCACTTTTTGAAAAATTTGTTGCCAGGGGGGTCTGAAAAGTCGCAAAATCTAGCAACAAAGTCGCTAAGTTGGCAACACTGGTAGTAATGTGATCGTGCACACCAACACACAAAATGGTAGGAGCAAAAACGTAATTTTTAAAGAAACGACTCATGCTTGTTTTTTTGTTTTGTTTTGACGCGCTGCGTTAAAACCTTCTCCACCAGATTGCCTCTTTTGATCTCATGTACGGAGCTGCTGAAGTTAAGGCTCGTACACATCAGGATGCTTTTTGTTTGAGTTTATCGTCAGCGTTTTTCGCGACATTTTTACAGATTCAAACGCAAGCGATTTTTTTCACTGACGTCGAGCAGAATAGTATGCAAAATCACTCCTTGACATTAGATGGCGCTGCACAACTCTAAGCTTCTGAAACCCGCATGTAACATAGAAGAAGAAGAGAGAAAACTGACACGCTTGTTGTTAAAGTTACTGCCAACTGCAAAACTGTCAATGCGAGTGCACATTGAAGAAGATACCCTGAGGCGATATAAACATGGAGCTGCTACTGGAATTATCCATGCTTGTTCAAATCACCAGTCAACTTTCTGTCTACTATGTTACAAGCGGGTGTCAGAAGCTTAGAGTTGCGCAGCGCCATCTAACGTCAAGGAGTGATTTTGCCTACTCTTCTGCTCGACGTCAGTGAAAATTGATTGGGTTTGAATCCAGAAAAATGTCTCGAAAAACGTTGACGATAAACGCAAACGAAAAGCGTCCCGGTGTGTACGAGCCTTTATGGTGCCTTAATGGAAGCGTCCACCGGAGGACAGTAGCTACCTTGGAAATCATTCAAATAAAAAATCCTTACAAGGTGTTTTTTATTTAGCAAACTATTTAAATACTACAAATGTAAACATTAGTCGGGCAGTTTGTGTAAAACCTCCTTTCCACTGCACACGACAAGCGACAGACCGGAAGTATTTCATTTCCAATGGAGAGGAGTCCGGGAGCTGCGTGGAGTTCTGATCATCTCCGTATGCGGAAAATTCGGATACGAATTGAGCTGTGGATCAGTTGAAATATTTGAACTCTTGCGACTAGACCGTATGCGACGGGCCGACCGGATGTGATGTATTCCAGTGTTGTCCAAGCAGGTCCATGCGCACGAGATGAGAAATAGAATTTTTTTTCTTTATTTTTTGACGCAGAAAAGTATATTAAAAAACATTTATATTCATAAATTTGTAATAAAAATATTATATTTTAATGTTTTCTCCAAATTCCTGTCAAAATTTCTAGCAGTCTATGAGTTTCTAGTATTCATTCATTCATTAAACCACCGAAAAATAAAGGCTCTTGCTTTTGTACTTCTTTATTTCGGACACTGCGAGAACAGCTCTCCGATAGTGCGCGACAAAGCTGAAAATTCTGTGCGACTGCCACAAGGGGGCGTATTCCAACAGTCGTGTCCAAATGTAGTGTGCAGTGGAAAGGCGGCATCAGACTCGATCTTCAGGCACTAACTCTTATCTGTTTGTGTGGTCAATCTGGCAACCCACGTTTGAGGAGGAGGGGTCGGATGATCTATATATTTTGAATTTGGACTGCAATACCTAGTTCAACCATTAGGTGTCTATCCTGCATACTGCACCTTTAACAGATGATTGCAGGCAGCACTAATAGTGTGTCCATGGTGCAGGTGAAGATAAAGATGGAGATAAAGCCATTCATGATCGGGATGTGCAGTGGCTGACGATGTCTGACGGTAGGAGAGATGAAATATTCCCAATTTTAACATTATTAATGTGATTCTAAATAAAATTTGGATTCAATGAAATATGGTGTTTAAATTTCAAGTTGGCTTTATTGTCATTTCAACAATATACAGTACAGTACACACAGTGGTCCCCCTGCAGGGATTACTGACGGGGCCCACTTGATTGTGATCATTATACTTATTGTGCTTGGTGTGAACGGGCCTTTACACTGAATAACCAGTGCTGTTTCCTGTCTCTCTTATCAGTGATAGTAGCAGAAGTGACGCAGCCATCTTTAGGTGTTGGTTATGAACTGGGCCGAGCTGTGGCAATGAACAAGAGGATCCTCTGTCTCTTCAGACCTTTTTCTGGAAAAGGTATTGCTCTTGACAGGCTTAATATGTTGTGTAATGTGTATTTATATAGCGCATTTTTTTGTGTATGGTGGTACACCCAAAGCGCTTCTCAATCATGAGGGGTCTCTCCACACCACCACCAGTGTGCAGCATCCACTTGGATGATGCGACGGCAGCCACAGGACAACAGGGCCAGTGCGCTCACCACATACCAGCTATAGTGGAGTGGAGAGACAGTGATAGAGCCAATTCGGTGGATGGGGATGATTGGGAGGCCATGATGGGCAGTGGCGGTGCTAACTTGAATGGTATCCTGGGCAAACCACCCCATTCCCCCGACCAGATTTCTGCGGCGTGGGAATAAATTTCCAAATAAAGCGCGGGAGCGGTCGGTAAGAGGTTTAATTTGGGATGGGAGCGGGTCGTCTAGCAATATCGCTCCCGACTCCCGAGCGAGCGATCACGCGTATGTAACGTTATAGCCGCCTTTTCACTGCACACGAGAAGCGACAGACTGGAAGTCATTCATTTCCAATGGAGAGGAGTCCGGGAGCTGCGTGGAGTTTCATTCATCTCCGTATGCGGAAAATTCGGATCCGAATTGAGCTGCAGATAAGTTGAAATATTTGAACTCCTGCGACTAGACCGTATGCGACCTGCCGACCGGATATGATGTATTCCAGTTTTGTCCAAGCAGATCCGTGCGCGCGAGATGAGAAATGGGAGTTTATTTGGTTCTTTTTTTAAATCTAAAAAGTCTATATTAAAAAAAAAAACTTTTCTGTTCATAAGTGTAAGTAAGAAAGTAATAAAAAAATATATTTTAATGTTGTCTCTACATTCCCTCCAATATTTTAGCGTTCTATGAGTTTCTAGTATTCATTCATTCATTCATTAAACCATGTAAACGCACAGAGAATAAAGTTGTTTTGGACACCGTGTCAATCAGTTTCTCTCCCACAGTGCACTAACACTGAAAATACTGTGCGGCTGTCACAAGGGGGCGTATTCGACAGTCGTGTTTAAATGTCGTGTGCAGTGGAAAGGCGGCTTAAGTGTGTGACTGAAACAGCGTGATGCTGTGTTTAGCTTGTTTGTTCGTTGCAGGTGTGTGCGCGCGTGTGTGCATGCATGCGTGCGTGTGTGTGTGTGTGTTTATACAGACAGCTTGTTATAGGCTTTCTGGACTCTGTATAGCTGGGTGGATTTCGATTTTGTTCTTCCCCTGCTCTTTAGCAGGATGGGGCGGGGCAGGCAGCGGGACAACAAATGCTGAATATACATGGGAGCGGTCGGGTTCGGGCTAAAACCTGGCGGGAGCGGGCAGAGCGGGATTCAAAATTTAGTCCCGCCCAGATCTCTACCAGACAGTACAAAATACAGATAGTGCAAATAAAATGACAGTGCAAAATACAACAGCATACTCCCAAAAAAAACAGCACCATGTAAAATTGACAGCGATATGTACAATGAATAGGTGTCCACATAGTTGTAGGCAGTATTGTTTAAAGTATGGATTGGTTAAAGTGCAGTGCTTGCTACATATTGGTGGTGTGCAGTGAGTTGTATGGAAAAGTCTGTTTGTGTGTGGTGTGTTAAGTGTTCATCAGCCTGATAGTCTGAGGGAAGAAGCTTTCCTTCAGTTGGCTGGTGCGTGACCAGATGCTGCGGAACCGTCTGCCTGAGGGTAGCAGAGAGAAAAGTCTATAGCTTGGGTGGCTGGAGTTGCTGATATATAGCGACTCCAGCCACTGGAGTCTGTTATTTATTCATAATATTATAAATAAATAGCAGAAATCAATCCTAAATGTAACTGAAAAACAATCACATTTATATTAAATTCTATAAAATAAAAAATATACAGGTTTTATAGAATTATCTGTTCATAGACTTGACTCAAGGCTGAGAATTAATGTTATGAAGTCATACCTCCCGGTCTCATCATCCATCCTTTCTGCTTCTATAGCCATACTTAGTCAAAATAAGATCATCATCATATCAACTTCAGTTTTGTCAACTTGCAAACCTCGCTGTGAACTGACACCTTGTGCATGACTAGTAACATAACAGGCTGTCCAACCTTTTTAGAACTTGTCCAGGACACTGGGGTTGAACCCCTACTCTTTTACTAGAAGACGGTTTAACATCTCGCCTGAAAGACAGTATAGTATTCCTTTCACTATACTGGGGCATTAGGACTCACACAAACCACAGGTTGAGCGCCCTCTACTGGCCTCACTAACACCCCTTCCAACAGCAACCAACCTTTCCCCTGTGGTCACCCATGCAGTTGCTGACCAGGCTTACTAAGATTGAATAGATATCCTGATCACTGTTTTTTCATCTCTCTCCCTCCAGTGCTCTCCGCCATGATCAGAGGAGCGTCAGCCAAACCACTCTTCCAAGTACAAGACTACAAAGAGGACGAAGTGGAGAACATCTTGGAGGAATATTTTGAGACTCTCACTAAGAACTGATGAGCAGCTGATCATAACAAATCCTATGTGCTGCTCTTATTCAAATCAACAGGACTGCTTTGGTAAGCATTTGTAGTGAAAATGCATATTAAGCATACACAGTGTATTGTTACTTGCTCTTGAATAAATCTGGTTTTGTTAACAACACACTGACGTTGCTTTGAGTCACAAATGACTTACAAATCCCTGTATATTAGTCAATGAAATTACTGTGGTACATAACTATCAAACTATTGGCGGCTACCATAAACAGCATTGAGGGCCACTGCTCTGGGTTATTATAGCTTTGTGCAGCTACTCTCATGAGATTAATGCATCAGTTCATGAAAGCCCATGAAGTCGTAATGAAATCAAAATGTGCTTCTCATTTTATATGTGCAGTACCAGTGCAAATGATAAATCTGTGCACTTTGAAAATTAACCGGCACTCACCATTTAATTAATTAATAATCATTTCATTAGGACAGTAAGGTCTGACTTTGCTTAGACAAAAGTCTTGTCACTTAACAGAAATAATGTCCAGTATAGAATATAAAGTCATGCTGCAGTGGAAACAGAATGAATATTGTGTCTGACTCCATCATGAGCTTGGAGGACTGCATCCATACATCTCTGCAATGACTCAAATCACTGATTAATAAAGTCATCTGGAATGGCAAAGAAAGCGTTCTTGCAGGACTCCCAGAGCTCATCAAGATTCTTTGGATTCATCTTCAATGCCTCCTCCTCCATCTTACCCCAGACATGCTCAATAATGTTCACCTCTGGTAGCTGGGCTGGCCATTCCTGGAGCGCCTTGACCTTCTTCGCTTTCAGGAGATTTAATGTGGTGGCTGAAGTATGAGCAGGAGCGCTATCCTGCAGGAGAATTGTCCCTCTCCTGTGGTTTGTAATGTAATGGGCAGCACAAATGTCTTGATAACTCAGGCTGTTGATGTTGATCATCCACTCTGCAGATCTCTCGCACGCCCCCATACTAAATGTAACCCCAAACCATGGTTTTTCCAAACTTGACAGATTTCTGTGAGAATTTTGGGTCCATAAGGGTTCCAGTAGGTCTTCTGCAGTATTTGTGATGATCGGGATGCAGCTCAACAGATGATCCATCAGAATAATCCACCTTCTGACACTTTTCCAAATGACTAGAACTAGAAGTCAAGTTATTATGTGTTGCTCTTACAACTGGGATCTTTTGTCAGGTAGAGGATATACCTATACGCATTTCTGTACAAACAGCTTCCAAAAGTAGATTTTGCATAATAGGTGCCCTTTAAATACAAAAAAATATCTTCCACCGTTACAAGTTAATGTATTTTATATTATATTATATTTATAAAATGTAAATATTGTGTTGTAGGTCTTTAATCTTTTTTTTAAACACATCTTCATTTTGCTTTATTCATGTATTGCTTCCAAATCTGGCCAAAACCCAATCACCGACAATCATCTCAATAAAACTTTAAACTTTTTATTTGAAAAGGAAATTTAACTTTACATTTTAATTTAAATGTAACTTTATTTATCATAATGGTTTAATTATTTCCCTTACAATAACATTTGTTTAAAGGTTCTCCATGCATTTACTGCTGAGGACACTGACCTGGACAGATTGCTGTGCATATATTTAGTTTATTATAAAACATTTGTTCATTTTCTTTTATTTTAAAGTAAGTTTATGTTGTAAAATAAGTGTATGGATATAACTAGAGCCTGCTTGTTTTTACACAATATTTAAAATATATTGCTAAAAAAATTTAATGTAAAATATTTTAATTGTTTTTTATTAAAGTATTATTGTATTATTAAATGTATTAAATTATAATATATTTTTTTATAGGTCAAATAAAAATCTTTTTCATCGAGGCCATTTGAAAAATGCCGTAGCCTTTAGCCCTTCATGAGTCTAAAATCCCATTCATAATGGTCTTAAAAATGTCTTGAGTCTTAAATTTAACTCTGTAAAACCAGCAGGAACCCTGTATTTAGCAGGGGTCGCCACAGCGGAATGAACCACCAACTTACCTAGCAAATGTTTTATACAGCAGATGCCATTCCAGCTGCAAGCCAACACTGGGAAACACCCATACACATTCATTCACACATATACACAACCGCCAATTTAGCTTATTGGTTTGCCTCTACCACATGACCTTGTAATGTTGAGGAAACCGGATCTAGAGCTTTTTTAAATGTATGTATTTCTTCAGTTTTTCATTTCTACGTGTCCTAAATTTAGTACTCACACGCCCATAACTAAGATTTTCACCTAATTTGGTGAGTTAAGTGACTTTTTGGATTAAGATGGTTTTTCTACATACCGCTGGAAGAGACTAAAATGTGAGCTGCTGGTGTGCCCAGGGCTGGGAAACACAGGGCTATCATTACACTAAATTGTCCACCAGAGGTCACTTGTTATCTTTATTTTTACTGCTATTTTCATAATGTGCATTATAAATTAAGGCTGTGTTCATTTGGTTTACAAGTTTAAACATCATAAAATGTTTTCAAATTGTTAATTTCTCAAACATTTGTAAATAAAACAATCTGCTCGTTTCTTTCTAAAAACTCATACATTATGTGGTAATCAAATTCTATTTTCAGTGAGAGAAATTTGTGCAAACTTGTATGGTTACACAGTTAAAAACTTTAATACACACAGTTCTGTATAAAAATACACATAACAATAAAAAACAGCTATACATTTCAACAATAAATTACATAAATAAGTTATATTTACATTTAATAATACATTACCAACAGTATTCTTATTTGTCACAAAAATAATCGTTCCCATTAAATTGATATAACAACCTAAGCATCTCATCACAACAATATTAAAGCGAACATTACATTTTCATTTAAAAGTGTTCAATAAACAACCAGCATACTCCATTGGCAAATACTCACATTGAAATATCTTACAGTTTGAACACTTGGCAAAACATGTACAGAAATGAAATAAAAAAGATTCTATGTAGTAGTGTGGCTTGACTAGATATAAATAGAGAACTACTTTCTTACATCGTGGAAGTTTGAACTATTCAGTGTTTCAGTGCTTCGCTTTATTTTACATGGAGCCCATTAGTGTTATGCTAATACTATACTCTTTGAGTACATCAACAAACAGTTCCCAGAACATGTGCATTTCAGAGTCATCATGATACTGCAATCCATTCATACTGTGATTGATATATATATATATATATATATATATATATATATATATATATATATATATATATATATATATATATATATGTGTATAGTTGAAGTCAGAATTATTAGCCCGCCTTTGAATTTTATTTTTATTTTTTAAAATATTTTCCAAATGATGTTTGACAGATTCAGGAAAATTTTTTTCACAGTATGTCTGATAATATTTTTTCTTCTGGAGAAAGTCTTATTTGTTTTATTTCAGCTAGAATAAAAGCAGTTTTTAAATTTAAAAAAAAACATTTTTAAGATCAATATTATTAACCTTTTTAAGCAATTTTTTTCCCCTAAAGTCCACAGAACACACCATCGTTATACAATAACTTGCCTAATTACCCTAACCTGCCTAGTTAACCTAATTAACCTAGTTAAGCCTTTAAATGTCACTTCAAGCTGTGTAGAAGTGTCTTGAAAAATATCTAGTCAAATATTATTTACTGTCATCATGGCAAAGATAAAATAAATCAGTTATTAGAAATGAGTTATTAAAGCTGTTATGATTAGAAATGTGCTAAAAAATTCTCTCCGTCAAACAGAAAATGGGAAAAAAATAAACAGGGGGCTAATAATGCTGACTTCAACTCTATACATCCATCCTTCCATCCATCCATCCATCCATCCATCCCCCAGTTTAAGCAATACTGATTGCATGTTGACTAAATACCCTAAAGTTCCCTCGGCAGCACACGCCTGGCATCTGTGATTATTAAAATAATAATAATAATAAAAAAAGTGTTTGGTAATTTCTGAGTAATCGCTCTGGATTATGAGCGCTTTCATCCATCGACCGACTCTTAGATTCATTCGTACCGTCTTCATGAGCGGTCTGTAACTTCACCGGGAGCAGATGCGTGGTACAGTTGAAGTCAGGATGATTAGCCCTCCTTTTCTTTTTCAAATATTTCCTGAATGATGTTTAACAGAGCAAGGAATTTCCCCCAGTATTTCCTATAATATTATTTATTCTAGAGAAAGTCTTATTTGTTTCATTTCGGCTAGAATAAAAGCAGTTTTTAATAAAAAAAAAAATTAAGGTCAAAATTATTAACCTCCTTAAGCAATATTTGTTAACAGTTATCTACAGAACAAACCATCGGTATACAATGACTTGCCTAATTACTAAAACCTGCCTAATTCACCTAGTTATGTCTTTAAATGTCACTTTAATCTGAATACTAGTATGTTGAAAAATACCTAGTCATTATTGTGTGCTGTCATCATGGCAAAGATAAAAGAAACCAGTTATTAAACTATTATGTTTAGAAATGTGTTGAAAAAAAGTCTCTGTTAAACAGAACTTGGGGAACAAAATATACAGGGGGGCTAATAATTCTGATATCAACTGTATCTCCGGCTAAATAACATCAGTGTTCAGCCTCTTCTTCTCCGGAGATTGGAGGAAACTGATCTTGCACTCCTGTTGCGAATGTTTCCTCTGCGTCCGGTGAGCCGGTCTGCACTGACAGCTAGCCGATCGGTCCTGGAAATACCCGCGAAGCACCAGAGCAGCTGTTAATCCCACTACAGCCAGCGTCATCCCACCTAAAACCAGCAGAACGATGAGCTGAAACTCCGACAGCCCTTCTCCACCGGCTGGAGTTCTAAAAGTGATCTTAAGCAGGCGTTCCTCGCCTCCGCTTGGAGTCGTCCAATGGGAGGGCTTCAGCGTCATGTTTGGGTTGTGTTCAGCTTTAAGCGGAGATTTGGTTGGAGATACCAACTCGCAAGTTCTCCCGGTGAATCCTAGAGGGCAGACGCACTGGAAGTTGGAGACTCGATCTATGCAGCGTCCTCCGTTTAGGCAGGGTTGGCTGGCGCAGTCGTCCAGGTTGATGGTGCAGAAACGTCCTGTGAATCCGGCAGGGCACAGGCAGGAAAAACGATTCACGCCGTCCAAACAGGTGGCACCGTTGGCACAGGGGCGCATCAGGCAGTCATCCATGTTGGTCTCGCAGCGGGCACCGGTGAATCCTGCAAGGCATCGACAGGACAGTTCTGGAGCGTAACCACCCAGATCCTCACACAGACCGCCGTTCTTGCAGGGAGATCTGAAATCATGAAGAGGATTTGAGAGTACAGGTGAAGTCAGATGTATTAGCCCTCCATATTTCTGTTCAGCAGTTTTATTTCAACACATTTCTAAACATAATAGATTTTATAATGACCCAGCAGACACACAACGTCATTAGACGTTAATATTACGTTAGATTTAGATCACTGGTACTCGTGCTACATCGAATACATCTAATAGATCACGGATAGCCTCTTTTAACTCCACTGTGGAGAAGATCTGTATAAGCTGTTGCCAGGGCCGAAGTGGGACTCCTTTTCAGCCCTGGAGTTTCAAGCCTCAGACTGGCCCACCTCAGTTCACGACTGACTATATTAAAATAAGGTCATTTCCAAATCAGTTTCTAATGACACTATCACGTCTTTTTTTTAAGAGAACAGCTGCTGTAGAACTTCAAATGTTCAACAACCCTTATAGTATTGTATGTCGTAACAATAAAAATGAAAAAGATTACATACTCAAACGAGGATCAAGCCCGGATCGGCGGCATCGTAATCTAACATTCTAACCACTGGGCCACAACAGTTGTATCTTGGTTATATATAAAAAGAGAAGAGCTGCGGTAAAATAATGAATAAGAAGACTGTGGTCAAGTAAATAAATAAATTAATTTAAAAAGTGTGACTGCTGAGAACAACAGATTCTGGAGCTAGGGGCAGCGGCCCTCGCGGCAAAAAAACGGACCGGCCCACCGGGAATTCTCCCGGTCCTCCCGATTAGCCAATCCGGGCCTGGGTGTTGCACAGGTGAAGCAGACTTGTCTTACATGTTTTAGACGTGTCCTAATAGTGCGTTTCCACTGAGTCGTACGGTCCAGTGCGCTTTTATGGCCAATTACGCTGTCGAAAGGTGCTAAAAAGTGAACTGTATTGTACCACTTATTGGGTAACCTTCATAGAAGGGTACCTAGCACAACAAAATGGTATCAAAAGGCAGAGCAAGATGCACAGCCGAACACTATTAGTTTACAGAGATACGTCACTTGCTCACGGACAAGCAGGAGAGTGAAAACAAAGAAAGCCCCTTTTTTAAATACACAGCCAAGACATTATATCGTAATAATATATGCATATAATAACAAGCCATGGTCGACCTAAGCTCAAACGATGTCGTCGTCTTGATGAACAGCCACAAAGCCTAGAGGAAGAGCAGAATCTACCCTGTGCCCTGTACTAGTTGTTTACAAGGCCATCTAAAGCTTGAGCGGTTTCACTTTTTGGCTTGTGCTTGCCGCGCGTCTATATTCTAAAAAAATTTACTTTTTGAGCTCATATTAATAATGTGCCCGTGATTATTGAGGAGCTTATGACATCTGATCCTTTCAGAAATGAAGATATGCGAGAATGAAGCACGAAAAAACAAAGGAGCAAATGAAACAGCAACCTAAATCATGAACAAACTGCCATGTTTAACTATTATCATCACCGTTTGGACTATTATGAACTCAAAATGACGCAATTAATCTCTAACAGAGGCTACATGTGCTGCTGAAGATTAAAGCCACAGGTGAGAGGTCTGCTCTGAGTGTGGGCTTATATTTCGTGTTGTTTTTTTAACCCAAGTAAGGACTATATGTATGCTGTGTGTAGTTTTTCTGTAATTGGTAACATATCGGAGTGTGTAAGGGTCTGTATGTGTTCATATATGTTGTATTTATTTTATATAATTGCAGACGCTGTCTGCTGTTTCACACTATCATTGATCTATCTATCTATCTATCTATCTATCTATCTATCTATCTATCTATCTACATCCATCCATCCATCCATCCATCTATCTATCTATCCATCCATCCAATAATCTATCTATCTATCTATCTATCTATCTATCTATCTATCTATCTATCTATCTATCTATCTATCTATCTATCTATCTATCTATCTATCTATATCCATCCATCCATCCATCCAATAATCTATCTATCCATCCATCCATCCATCCATCTTTCTATCTATCTATCTATCTATCTATCTATCTTCACCCATCCATCCATCCATCCATCCATTTAGGTCACCAGTGTCTAAAGACAATAACGACATGAAATGATGTTGATATTTGGTTGTTTTTAGGTTGTGCTGAAAAGTGGCCAAAATGCAACGTCTGTCCGACATTGGACTTAACGTCGAGTTCTGACATCAACCTGATTTTCATTTCCAAAGAAAAGTAACGTCCCATGACGTTGGGTTACAATGTCAATCTGATGTCATGTCTTTTATCTTTGCCGCGATCACAGTAGATAATATTTTACTGGATATTTCTCAATATACTAGTATTCAGCTTAAAGTGACATTTAAAGGCTTAACTAGGTTAATTTGGCAAGTTATGCTAATTAGGCAAAGCATTGTATAACAGTGGTTTGTTCTGTAGATAATTGAAAAAATATTGCTTAAGGGGGCTAATAAAATTGACCTTAAAATGTCTTTAAAATACATAAAAGCTGCTTTTATTCTAGCCGAAATAATACAAATAAGATTTTCTCCTGAAGAAAAAACATTAAAGAAGAACTGAAAATTCCTGAATCTGTTAAACATCGTTTGGGAAATACTCATAGAAGAAAAGAAAATTTCACAGGAGGGTGAATAATGCTGACTTTAACTGCATATACTGTATGTATCCAGTCCTGCAACATCTCTGGGGAAAACGCTGCGTTGGTTTGTTTAGGTGGTCATGGGAGGAACAGTGTGGCCGAGCTGCGGCGTGTCTGCATGAACAGGCCAGTAATGAGCCTATTCAATACATGATTGCACTCTGGAGGCTGCAAATTGACCTGGCTGTTGTGCGTGTGCTGCTTGTGCCAGTGTGTCTGAGCTTGTAGGCTTATAGATTAAGGATCACAGCTTAAAACGTTTATTCAAAGTGGTCATGAGTAATCCATTATTCACCGATCTTACATAAAAGAGACTCTGTAAAAACAAAATGCTGACAACTGAAACATACGGCAAAGCAGCTTCAGGCATTGCATGAGTAGGTGCAAAAAATGTATCATCTTAACAATTTAAGTCAGCCTGTGCTTTCAGCAAATATTCAGGTTATTTTAAGTTCAAGATGTTTAGTTAAGCTGAGCAAGTGTCATTAACAGGGGGTGGTTATTTTATAGCATTAAACGGCTCTCTGAGATACTTGATACTGATTGGTCACTCATGATAATCACGGATAACAATCACTGAAACTAATAACACAGGTTCATCTAGAACTTTCAATTTTGCCTCTTAGTATATATATTGACATCCATATACTCTCATTGGCCACTTTATTAGGTACACCTTACTAATACCGTGTTGGATCCTTCGTGGCATAGATTCAACAAGGTACTGGAAATATTCCTCAGATATTCTGCTCCACATTGACATGATAGCATCATACAGTTGCTGCAGATTTGTCGGCTGCACATCCATCATGCAGATCTCCCGTTCCACCACATCTCTAAGGTGCTCTATTGGATTGAGCTCTGGTGACTGTGGAGGCCATTTAAGTACAGTGAACTCATTGTCATGTTCAAGTAACCAGTCTGAGATGATTCACGCTTTATAACATGGTGCGTTATCCTGCTGGATGCAGCAATCAGATAATGGGTACAATGTGGTCATAAAGAAAGAAAGAAATGGAGACTCATCAGACCAGGCAACATTTCTCCAATCCTCTATTGTCCAGTTTTGGTGAGTCTGTGTGAATTGTAGCCTCAGTTTTCTGTTTTTAGCTGACAGGAGTGGCACCCGGTGTGGTCTTCTGCTGCTGTATTCCATCTGCCTCAAGGTTGGACGTGTCGTGTGTTCTGGGATGCTCTTCTGCAGACCTCGGTTGTAACGAGTGCTTATTTGAGTTACATCAGCTGGAACCAGTCTGGCCATTCTTCTCTAACCTCTGGCATTAACAAGGCATTTGCGCCCACAAAATGGCCGCTCACTAGATATTTTCTCTTTTTCAGACCATTCTCTGTAAACCCTAGATATGGTTGTGCGTGAAAATCCCAGTTGATCAGCAGTTTCTGAAATACTCGGACCAGCCCATTCAAAATCCCCTTTCTTCTCCATTCTGATGCTCGGTTTGAACTGCAGCAGATCGTCTTAGCCATGTCTATCTACATGCCTAAATGCATTGAGTTGCTGCCATGTAATTGGCTGATTAGAAATTTGCATTAACCAGCAGTTGGACAGATGTACCTAATAAAGTGGCCGGTGAGTGTACATTCATAATCATATTTATACGCTTAATCTTGTGAATGAGTTATGCTCCATTCAGCCATCTTTATTTCTGTCAGCTTTGCCTTTAATTAAAAATCAATAAATGGCTCAGAACAATGTTTTGGTGTCTAATTGTTTACATTTTGGGGCGAGCAGCCATGATTTTACATTGCTTTATCTCTTTGAGGAACTTTATTATAAAGTGTTTCCACATTATATTAAATTGACCAATATATTGACCGGTATCAAAATCGGCCAAATGTTTTTTTGCTGAATTTGGAATCGGCGAAAAAAAATAACTTATCTGTGCATCTCTAATTTAAATGAACACATGAACATGCATTCACCATACAGTTCTGTAAATAAATAAAACACTCACTTGGTCTTTTGGCAGGGCCCAGCTTTGAGTTCACAGTCCCGGCCGTGGAAGCCTTCAGGACACAAGCAGCTATAATCTCCAGAGTCACTCAGTTCACAAGTGGCCCCGTTATGACACGGCTGCTGTCTGGAGCACACGTAAACATCTGCGGAAAGAGTCACGGTCTTTTAACATGAAGTCAAAATCCACAATGTTTATTTTGCTTAATCTTTAGGTGAGCAATTAATCCTTGCATGTTAATCCACTTTGATTTGGTAATCTTCAGTCAAATCTGAACATTTGCTTCCACGTTTGGAGCGGCAGTCCTTCTCTGACGTCACTTTGACAGGCTTAGGCTCAATATTCTTAAACCCACCCTCTTACTGTTAGTTTGCTATCAGGCAATGATGCGCAAAAGAAAGCCCCGCCCCCTACTTAATATTCCGTTTCAAGTACATCAACATTCATTCATTTCCTTCAGCCTTGTCCCTTTTTTTTTATTAGGTATCACCACAACGGAATGAACCGCCAACTATTCCAGCCTACGTTTTACGCAGCAAATGCCCTTCCAGCCACAACCCAGTGCATTAGTCATGATCTCTCCCTCATCAGCACAGACAGCCCTGAGTGAAAAGCAGCCGTCTGACATTAGGATTTCACTGATAGTCCTGTTTTGAATCTGCATTTGTAGCTCCGCCCTCATTTAAAAAGATCTCATTTGCATTTAAAGCGACAGTCACCAAAACAGAACAGTTTAGATCACAGGAGTCAAACTCAATTCCTGGAGGGCCGCAGCTCTGCACAGTTTAGTTCCAACCCTAATTAAACACACCTGATCAAACTAATTGTATCTTTCATTCTGGTTTGAACCCTACAGGTAAGTGTGTTGAGCAAGGTTGGAACTAAACTGTGCAGGGCTGCGGCCCTCCAGGAATTGAGTTTAACACCCCTGGTTTAGATCAAATCCTAAATTGGCACTTATAAACATTATTTGTGTGGTATTTTGAGCTGAAACTCCACATACACACTCTAGGGACATCAGAGACTTGTTTTTATTTCTTATAAAAGAGTCCCCTTTAAAGCTTTTAGCCACTTATAGTCCTAAAACAATACTACTACTACTAATATGACTGCACTTTAAAAGACCCCTCATATCGGCCTCATTCAGGACGGTGATGAGTCTGCTTATAGACAGGAGGTAAAGGAGTTAGCTGTCTGGTGCCATCACAACAACCTGGAGCTCAACATGCTCAAAACAGTGGAGATGATAGTGGACTTCAGGAGAACCCCCCCTGCTCTCCCCCCACTGAGCATCATGGACAGCATTGTGGCAGCAGTGGAGTCATTCAGGTTCCTGGGCACCACCATCTCTCAGGACCTGAAGTGGGACACTCACATTGACTCCATAGTCCAAAAAAGCTCAACATATTGAATGATAACTCTCAATTTCCCTTAAATGCAAAGGTCCGTAAATTTTGGTTAGCTGCTTCAACTGCTACAAAGAAAATGTTGGTACAAATGTGGAAACCTCCTCGTGATCTCTCAGTTAAGCACTGGTTACATTCATTATTGGAAATACTGTATCTGAAACTGTCATCAGCACGGATCAACCATGCCAAAGTGGACATTCATACGGCATGGAAAATCTACATATGCAACGTCAAAGAAATCTTGGACACTTAACCCTCATCTGATACTACGGCTGACAACTTAATGGAAATGATCTAACAGCTTGGTCTAAACTATAGTTATTCTGTGTTTCCTGATGTGCGTATAATGGGGTGGGGGGATGGGGAATATATATGGGGTTATATCTGTTAAAAGTATTTTGTTATCTGATTGTAAAAACTGTATATTCTCACTTTCAGAAATAAAAAACTGAATTACAAAAAAAAAAAGCTCAACAGAGGCTAGACTTTCTTCATCAGCTGAGGAAGTTCAACCTCCCAATGGAGCTGCTCCTCCATCATTGAATCAGTCATCTGCACATCAATAACTGTCTGGTTTTGCTCAGCTACCAAATCCGACCTCCGAAGATTACGTCGAATAGTTTGAACTGCTGAGCGAATCACTGGTACAACCCCCCCCCCCCACACTATGCAAGAACTATACTTATTCAGAGCGAGCAGAAGGGCTGGAAAAATCACTTCGGACCCCTCACACCCAGCACACTGCCTCTTTGAACTGTTACCTTCTGATTGACGCTAGAGAGCACAGCGCACCAGAACAGCCCGACACAGTAACAGTTTCTTCCCTCAGGCAATCCATCTCATAAACACTTGATAATAATAATTGTGGAACAAACATCTCTACTTGCTTTACACTTTTATTTAACAACAGCTGCACATTCACCATTGTATATAAGAATATAACTCTATATACACTTGTCTATATGTATATTTGCATTCACTACTTACTGCTTTTTTATATATTTACTATCTGTTTATTGTACTGTCTCTGTAATTCTGTTGCACTGTAGAAGCTCTGTCACGAAAACAAATTCCTCTTATGTGTGAACATACCTGGCAATAAAGCTCTTTCTGATTCTGATAATAATAATCACCTTTGTCGCAGAATCTTCCTGCCCACCCGTCCATGCAGGAGCACTGCCAGGGCTGATGACAGGTGCCGTGGACACATCCGGGCATCCGAACACAGTCGTCACACATCGGCCCGCCCCATCCCGGATCACACCTGCCGGCAACAGGTAACCACACATACCATGAGCATTGTGCTGTTAATCTGTTTACAGTCTTATCTGGAGTAAGAGATGTAGTGGTGTGCTGGAACAGGCTTGTACAGGTCAGATATACTTTAACAACATGACACATCCCACAATATTTCACACTCATGGACCCACTCACCTGCAGTCGCCATTTTCGGCACATTTTCCGTGGCCAATTTCACACGTGCAGTTACTGGCTGATGGAGTCGGAGACGTTTCTTCTGAGGAAAATAAAACTGTGAAGATAAACATGCATTTAGTATAATGTTTATATTCATTCATTCGTTTTCCTTCGGCTTAGTCTCTATTGTAGAGGTCGCCACAGTGGAATGAACTGCCAACTACTCCAGCATATGTTTTACACAGCGAATGCTCTTCCAACTGCAACCCAGTACTGGGAAACACCCATACAAGCTCATTCACACACATACTCATTCACTACGGCCAAATTAGTTAGCATGTGTTTGGACTGTGGGGGAAACCAGAGCACCTATAGGAAACCCACACCAACACAGGGAGAACATGCAAACTCCACGGAAAATGCCAACTGAACTAGCCAAGACTCAAACCCGCGACCTTTTTGATGTGGGGCGGTAAATGCACAATGATTTTTGTGAAAGTTCACTTCCGAGCAGGGTAACATTCAGTTTGTCCAGTTAGCTCGTGGTGTACATCGGCGGAGTTGAGACGCAGAGAGGAGGTGACCACGATGACGATGACGATGACGACCGGGTTCGAGTCCGGGGAGGAACGGTTCCAGAAAGCAGGTAAGACAAAAACAGAATCCAAAAAATAAAGTGAACGAGTTAAAAACAGGGTGAGAATGTGGTGAAATCCGAAAACGTGGTAAAAATCAGACGAGGGCTTTTGTTTTTCTGGACGTTTTTTTGTAAATCGTTGCTTGGGTTTAGGGAAGCAAGAGGCGGGGCGGGTCAATCGGTAAAACTGGTTGGGTTTAGGGAAGGAGGGGGAGGGTGGGTCGGCCGGTTGCCTAGTCAATTATTCAGTCAGTCAGACAGACAGTCACTCGACAGTGGCCTCCGGTGGGTTTACTCGAGAACAGCGCAGGTGCGAACTTCGCTCGCGAGAGACGTTCGAGATGCAAAAAAGCGTACACAGCAGCCTATTGCAACAACAAAATTGCACAAATACATTACTCCAGGGACGTATTTCGTGGACTCCAGAAACGTCCAGGAGACTACCTTTTCAGAATGAGTCTGGGTTGGTTATTTTCATCTTGAAGAATCCCCCATCCACTTTGACTACTTTCCCTCTTTCCTAGCATAATCTAGGGGAACTCTTGAGACCTACTTGAGCTCAGACTCGCCTCTCTCTTGGCTAAACTGGAGGGAGCCCTGGGCTCGAAAATCCCCAGAGGTCAGCAGATGCATTATTGATGCCAGAGGTGAGAGGAGAATGGCCAGACTGGTTCCAGCTGATAGAAAGGCAACAGTAACTTAAATAAGCACTCGTTACAACCGAGGTCTGCAGAAGAGCATCTCTGAACACACAACACGTCCAACCTTGAGGCAGATGGGCTACAGCAGCAGAAGAACACATCGGGTGCCGCTCCTGTCAGCTAAAAACAGAAAACTGAGGCTACAGTTCACACAGGCTCACCAAAACTCAACAATAGAAGATTGGAGAAATGTTGCCTGGTCTGATGAATCTCGAAATCGTGTGAAAAGGACTTTGTAAATATTATTTAATTAGATAATTTGCCTCTGTAACATTTTTTTTATTATTTAATTTTATTGTTTTAAAAAAATTTTTTTTTATTATTATTTCCTTGTTTATTATTTTACTTGATGTCATCCATTGTTATGGTTAATATGATAGTATTGTTAAAACCAGCCTGATCTCATGAGGAAACGTAAGTATTTCACGTCAGTTTAGTGGCTAATTCGTATGAATTCATACAAGTTCAGTCGTACGTAAATGTACGATTTTAAAAAGGAGGCGTGGCACCCAACCCCACCCCTTACCCCAACCGTCATTGGAGGATGAGCAAATCGTACTAAATTGTATGAATTAGATTGTATGGATTTATACGAATTAGCCACTAAATCAAAAAGTTACGAATTGCTGTGAGATTGTGTTGGTTAAAACACACACCAAAAAATGTCCGCTGAAGTTTAGTGTTTTCCTACTCGAGCGATTTATGCGAAATGTGCATCAACCGCGCAAAACGCTCAACCCCACAAAACGCTCAACTCGCGCCGCTACATTCGCGTGAATCACTTCATTTGCGCCACAGGATGTCTATACGTGCCTTTGCATTGACTTCACATGTAAGTCACTCTTGCTTGACGCTTCATCCGCGTCTGATATGAACGTAGCATTATAGAGGTCAGAGGAGTGAGGTTCACCTGCACAGCACTTCACTAGCTGGCCTCCGTTACACCAGTCACCAGATCTCAATCCAATAGAGCACCTTGGGATGTGGTGGAACGGGAGATTCACATCATAAATGTCCAGCCGACAAATCTGCAGCAACTGCGTGATGCTATCATTTCAATATCTCTGAGGAATATTTCCTGTAGCTTGTTGAATCTATGGCACAAAGGATCAAGGCAGTTCTGAAGGCAAAAGGGGGTCCAACCTGGTACTAGTAAGGTGTACCTATTAAAGTGGCCACACGCTCTTTTACATAAAACTTTTTTGATGTTGCACGGGACAGAAAAAGAAACACGTGACCCATGATTAAACTAAAAACAGGCCTTCTATACTGAAGGCATGTGTTGTATAATGTCAACTTAATCATTTGCATGATCATTCGGCTTCATGTTGGGTTAATAACACACACGCTCTTTTATATCAAACTTTTTATGATGGCACAGGAAATGATTCACCATCATCACCGTCCCGACCGAGTGATTTAGCATTCTTGGCTGTGCTAATCGAGTATTGGGTTTTGGATGTTAGTACAGGGTGTGTGTGTGCTGGTGGAGGGCCAGCCGGCGCGTGTGTCTGCGGTGATGGGCACGAGGGGAGCGTGTGCGGTGGGAGGAGAGGAATGTGCTCATGTCTCCGCCCGTATGAGCTTTGCCCAAACATCACAAGAATTCGCCATCGCCCAGAGCCCAACCTTTAAACCAGCACTTACATCACAGCAGCGCTCAACACAGGGACACACTGCCTTCTCCACCAAATTATTATTCCCTACAGCCAGGAAGCTCCAAAACTATTTCAATCTGCCAACCACGTGCACCCTTTTAAGTAGGTTCCCGTATCTGACATGCTTGGATAATCGTGCCACTATCTGGGATGTGCGAGACAATGCATGCAAGCTCGTATTTATTCGCCGGCGCTGGAATGGGAAGCATTTTCCGTGTAATCCGGCCAAGAGTAAGACCTGTATTCCTGGAAACGCAATGCAGGGACAGCTGAAAAGCAGAACGTGATAACAGAGACCGGTCCCAAACAACAATACGAGTCGTAATCTCTTAAACGCTGAGACAGCTGAAGGATTAGTTTCACATTGAAAGCCAAACAAATCTGTTCTCGTAATTACTCGTGTTTTGAAGCTAAATTTGGACTGAAAGCAGGGGTTTAGTTGATTTATTGTTATTATTAATGTCAAAGCAGTGACTTAGGCCCAATCCCAATTCCATTTGTGACCCCTAGTCCTTCCCCTTGGCCCTTGAAACAGAGTGTGAAGCGGAAGGACTTCAAATTTACCCACAAGAAATGGGACAGCACTACAGCCCCCACACACACGTCATCAGAAACTCTTACTTCACATAAAATTGACAACAGTAGTTGTTTCACTTGCGTTATTTGTTTGGTATTTATCTTCAGGAAAGCTCTGAAGGCAGCGATGTCATGTTATAATGATATAATAAGTGAAATAAGTGTTGAACATGTCATGCTTTTTCATAGGAATAACGTTTCTTAAGGAGCTGTGGACATCGAGTTGAACCAGATTTTGGTAAAAACAATGAAATGACACGAGGAGAAAGTCCTAAACTACTGAAATGTATTTAATACTTTGTAAAAAGGGATCTTTTGGTGCTGGCAGCTTAAAGACGCCTCTCGTGTAGAGAATGAAGTCACATGCATTGCTCAGACTTCAACATAGTGTAAAAATCTTGATGCTTCTGTGGGTCTCGTCCATCACATCTTTGTATTTTTAACAGGCATATGATTTATACACTGCCTGACAAAAGTCTTGTCTTCGATCTCAGTTGTAAGAGCAGCACATAATAACTTGACTTCTAGTTAATCATTTGGAGAAGTGGCAGAAGGTCGATTATTCTGATGGATCATCTGTTGAACTGCATCCCAAACTGCAGAAGACCTACTGGAACGCTCATGGGGACAATATTCTCACAGTAATCAGTCAAGTTTGTTGAAGGAAAAATCATGGTTTGGGTTTACATTCAGTATTGGGGTGTGCGAGAGATCTGCAGAGGTAGATCAGCTTGAGGTATCAAGACATTTGTGCTGCCCATTACATTACCAACCACAGGAAAGGGCAAATTCCTATGCAGGATAGCGCTCCTTCTCAAACTTCAGCCTCCATGTCAAAGTTCCTAAAAGCAAAGAAGGTGCTCCATGATTGGCCAGCCCAGTCACCAGATATTAATATTATTGAGCATTTCTGGGGTAAGATGAAGAAGAAGACATTGAAGATGAATCTGAAAAATCTTAAAGAGTCCTGCAAGAACGCTTTCTTTGCCATTCCAGATGACGTTATTAATAAGTGATTGGGGTCAGTGCAGAGATGTATGGATGCAGTCCTCCAAGCTCATGATGGAGTCAGACACAATATTCATTCTGTTTCCACTGCAGCATGACTTTATATTCTATACTGGACATTATTTCTGTTGAGTAACAAGACTTTTGTCTAAGCAAAGTCAAATCTTACTGTCTTAATGAAATAATTCAAAATCAAGTCATGATCATATTTTATTTTGGTAAAATAAGCGTAATCTAGAGGCCTTTGCCTTACCCATAAGCCACTTCTGATACCAAATGATCAACCAGAAGTCCAGTAATTATTTGTTGTTCCTAAAACTTGGATAGGCAGGTAGTTTGTGAAAAAAAATAAGAGAAAGTCACACCTGTGGAAGAGTGACAGATAAGGGGTTGGAAAACACATAAGTACAATGTAAAAACTAGTTGACTTCACTGCAGGCACAGGACATCAACATGACGTCATATTGACGTTGTACCCCAACGTCATGGGCATGTTGGATTTTATTTGGAAATGAAAATCAGGTTGACGTCAGAA